AACTAACCATCTCAAATGCCATGTATAAAAGCAAAAAGAGAGTCTTGTTGAAAACAGATTGCTCAAAGGTAGTGCAGGCTGCAGAACGATGCACCACCTTGTTTTAGGACAGCAAGTCCTCTGCTGTTTTCTGTACCCCATGCTCATGGTTCCTTAAGTTGTGACAGTTAAAGTTGTATGTCCCAGGCTCTAAGTTGGGTGGGAAAAGATCTCCATGTTGTTGTCCTGTACAGCTCTTGTATAAATGGTTGATTGCTGAGCAACCACTTTAGGCTGATGTGGTGATTAGTTCACAAAATAACACAAAATAATATCTTAGTCACTGCTTGTAGGTAAAGTATTTAGTCCTGGACGTTAAAGTAAACTGATCTGAAATAAAGACCATTTTGAGTTGCAGAAATAGTCTTGGAAACTGGAATAATTTACTTAGCAAAGTAAAAATTTGTCCAAGATTTTCATGATTGTTGTCCTAGGTTTACTTGCAGGAGAAGGGTGTATTGTCAGTAGGTTTTGGGGACAGATTATTTTTTTTTATGTCTTTTGGCCAGTTTGATTTGTGTTGCTTCACAATATCATCAGAGATTGGATTGCAAACCAGAACTTGCTGGTTGACCCTGTAATACTGGTGCTTATAGTTAGAAGCGATTGTAATATGGGCATGTGTGAGTTAAGTTGGAGAAAAGACTTAGCACTTCTCTGTTGTTCAACTCTAACATTCTTTGAAAACTCTTTCTTATTCTATGGAAAAAAGTAAGGTAGTCGACCCCAGTTGTTTACTAGGGGGAAGAATATAAGCAGGGCCGGTAGTGAGGCCCCGGCTTATTGCAAATCCACATCCCCATTCATACCACAGTTGGTTGTTTATAACCATGACCTAAAAGTTGGTTTCCAGAAACGGCTGAGGGATTCATAAGCTGTCACTGGCACTTCAGGGAACAGTCCCACCCATCTGCCTTGGCTGTGTGTGACCCTGTTGTGACTCGGCTCAGCTCACCGACCTGGTGGAAACTGTCCATTACCACTGTGTGAATTTTCCTCTGATTTGGCCCAAAGTGCCAGGCATAGGGGTTGTGGGAGTGCGGAGCTGGAATGGAGAGGCTGGGCATAAGGGAGGCCAGCTGGCCTCTGTCGGGCCAGCAGAGGTTGAGGATCAGCCCGTTCCTTTTGGTGGCAGGCGGCCATCAAGTTGACTCAACCATCTTGTGAAACTTCACCCTGAGAGTTTATTTCCCGCCTAGAATAAAATTCAGTTGCTTTGCAACATCCAGATTTGTTTATTTTAATATGGAACAGTATTGTTAACTCTAGTGCCTAAAATCACGGGGGTTTAAAAATACAGTATCTTGAAAAAAAAAAAAAAAAACCTCTTAAACTATCTTTTTTAAGTTCCTTTACTGGATTCTGACATTTTTAGTACATAGTAAAAAATAGTTTTAGACCCTGTAGCAGCAGCTCTTTTCCAGAAGACTCATCCAAGAATAGGACTCTTGTGCTGAGAAATGTGTAAACACGTAAGACAGTTCTTTCCTCAAAGAGCTTGCAGCCTAGTGCCAAGCAGAGTGGTGAGTTTGATGTGGGAGCTGGAATGTAGATGCATGGAACTCAAACAGGCCACAAAATACCCATTTGATGGAAACAACTTCTAAGCCCTGCTGAGCAGGGATGGATTCAATCTACGGTTCAAGCAAAAGGTTCTGATATTCATTAGTGGTGGCCTGAGATAGCCGTACTTCTGTTAGCGTTAGAGCTGCACCTTCGAGAATGATGTTTGTGGTATTTGAACACGCTAATTAAATCAGGTTCATTTGTACTAGAGGATGTCAATCAGGTGTTTGTGCTGGTCAGAAAAGCAAAAAGCCTGTTGCTGTGCATTACACTTCGACGCAACGTCCTGTTACCTGTGATTGGATTAATTGGATTAGAAGTTACTTGTACTGTGTATTTAGACACAAGTCTGGCAAGGTTTTTTGTTGAGTCACATTGCAGCGTCTAGTTGCCTTTGGCAATAGTTCTTCTGCTTTTCTGTAGTGCAAAATATAAAATCTGCCTGCTGAAAAGGCAGCAGAAATGTCTCTGCATCATGGAAAAGAGAATGCTGCAGAGCGTGGCACAGACAACTGAAGTTTGGGCAGGACTGGTACTGACCTGGAATCAAAAGGCTTGTGAGGATCCATACTTGCTTCTCAGAGAGCTGCTGAGAACATTTCTGTGCTCCCAAGCATTGTGCTCATAATACCTATGGTTTTGGTCTGTATTTGTCTGTTATCTCTGTAATCCCAACTATCCCAGTTAATGGAAAGCCACCTAACCTATACCACACCATCCTGATCTTAAAGTATTTTAAAAGAAATATCTTTCCTGAATCAGATACTCAAATACTAACTTAATGTCAACGTTCACATCTACGTCGCTTGTTGTGCAGTCTGAAATCTCCCAGTTGCCATGCAACTCTCCTGTATGCATGCACGTGTTTATAGAATTTGTAAAATGCAGGGATAGTAGTTCGTTCTATTCCATGATCTGTACAGTTTGATTAACAAACAGCCTTTAATAAGATTAAGTGGTTGTGAATTGGGAAGTGTGATGTGAGGCCATGAATTAGCATGCAGTGGGATGTTGTGTATCTTTTCCTAGTGTGCTATCTTGACTGTTTCTGAGCTGCCAGTGACGTACAAAGCATCAAAACTCTTAGTTCCTCTTCTAGCTTCAGTTTCGAAAAAGATCTCCCAATAGAAATTTTAAATTAGTTAAAGAACTCTATTTTGCAGAACAGTAAGATTTTACAGTTTGTGTGTGGTCTTGAAAGATGCGGGGCCAAATTGTGTTAATTTTGATGACAGAAGATTTAATTTGACTTTTTTTTTTTTCTTGAAAGGTTGTTTCTCTTGCAATGAGAATTTGGATTCTGTTCTTAGGGATACTGTTTCTGTCATTACAGACTTTCTGAGGAGTTTCAGAATTTGTTGGGATTTCAGAGCAGAAGACTGCTCTGAAACAAGTTAGTATAAAAAGAGAGAAGAATTATTATTGTTTGATCACAAGCAGGCCGATTTCAATGCTTGTCCCCTTTTTTGCTTCTCCCTACCACCACTTCGAAGATTCTTTACAAAGCATTTCTTCTGCTCACCCCTTCATCTTGAGACCTATAGATAGGGCTTTATGTCTTCTTTACAGTTCTTATTTCAAGAGCCAGCAAGTATACCTCAAATCTTATTTAATTTTTCCTCTGATTTAATATATCTTGTGCAAGATGTTTCATGTTCATTTGTTCCTTAGGTTTCAGATAAGCAGCTCTAGAGGTTATGTTCATTTTCGAGGAAAACTGCCATGTAAGCACAAGGACTTAGCAGGATCATAGAACAGTCCAGGCTGGAAGGTACCTTAGAAGATGATCAGGTCCATGGGAAAAGGGAGCCTAGGTGAGGTTACCTAGCACCTGTCTAGTCACATCTCAAAAACCTGCAGTGATGGGGACCCTACCACGTCACTGGGGAAGTTGTTCCAGCTGATTGATCCTTCTCACTGTAAAAAAAAAAAATTTTTCTTACATCAAGACAAAACCACTTCTGACACAGCTTGTACCTGTTGCCTCTTGTCTCCATGTGGCTCCTTGTGAAGAGGGAGCAGTGAAGATCCTCCTTAGTCCAGAAACAGTTCCTGGAACTACAAAGGGAGAAATTAATCTCCCAGGTTTTCATATCAGCATTAAGCAAATAATCTATAACTCTTAGGAGGTAAGCCAAAGGCATCTAGTAATCATCAAAATACCATGTTTCTAAGTTGTGTGTTTAGAATTGAAGAGAACAGGCTGAGTCGAAAATCACATCTGCCAAGGAAATTGTAAATCATTATCAGATGTTGGAAGTAAGGCATTACAGCCTAGCTTCTCTAGTTTTGCAGGCTCTAGGAAGACAGCTGAGCAAATGATATGTCATGCTTTTAGCAAGCTAACCTGAAGGAGTCATGTTTTCTGATCTGAAGTTTTAATTAAACTAGGTACATACCCATGATTCTGATTTTGATTGGCCCCACAGGTTGTGATGGCCTGATCCAATGGCGTTTGGACTAGAGGTCTCTCTTCCTCGCCTCCCAGTAGCCTAAATAACAATTAAATGTTTCAGGGTTTCAGAAAAAGTTTACTCCTATGAAAGGCAGTTCATTGGTTTAACAGGCATCGGATGTTTTTGTTTCTGTCTTCCTGATACTGGAAAGACTTATTTGAATAACCAAGAGGTCTGTATAGGGGTCAGAGTAACTGAAGTTCTCAAGAACTTTGTAATTGGAATGAAGAACATCTTAGACTGCTGGTGACATATGTGAGTTTTATACTGTGTTGAGGGCTCTCTTTTTTTTCCACCAGAGTAAGATAAATGTGTGTATGTGTATATATGTATGTACACACACAAGATTTTCTTTTCGACAGGCTTTTTCATCCTTTATTATTAAGGAACAAGAGTAATCAATGCTTAAAATCCTGGTGATTCTTACAATAGCTATGATACCTAAAATCAGTATGTGACATTTTCATGAATAAACATTTTCCTTTCTTGAACCTACACCTTTGTTTTTCTGTAAGAACTTCTCAGTCAGAAGTGATATATTTGAATTACGGTTTACTTGAGTTTATGGGAAAATAAATTTTTTCCATATAAAGGAAATCATCCAACCATTTCCAATTTGTACCTTCTACAGGAGAAAAAAAGTCAATTTTCTATTTCATGTAGTCATCCAACTCATCTCCTCTCATTTCTCCTCCCTTCTCCTTAAGGGGTCTGTGGTATCTGTTGGATAAAATTCAGCCCCCTCCCCCTCCTTCCTCGCCCCCCCTCAAAAAAAATAATTTCAGGAAGCTCAATATCTTGGAAATTGGTCCCTGGGTGAGAAACACGGGTACCTAGAAATAAAATATAACATACTGGGGAGGGGTAGCTTTGTTTTGATTGTTGGCATAGAGCTAATCTTGACAAATGATTAATCATGATGACTCTCTATTTGTGTAGGTTATGTAACAGATTACAACAAATATGAGAAGAATAGAACGAGGTTCATCATGATCTTCCTGTGTTTGAGGAGATCGTGAAACGTCCTACTGAAGTGTGTCTTTTCAAGGTACTTACACCTGATTTAACTCTGTAATTCGATGGTTGCCTGATTTGGCATATTGCTGTTATTCCATGAAAATGATCATGTTTATGAAAAGCTTCCTGCAGCTGTCTCTTACTCTGCAATGAAACTTGCCTGCAGTCCAGGGTGGGTTAGCTGGGTTTCAGAGTCCGCCTACTTAGTAGCTCTAGAACAAAAGGGATTTAAAAGATGAAAGCTTGGAATTCAAGTTTTAGCCAAGTTATTTGGAGGAAATAAAATTCTAATGTGATAAATGAGGTGGTCTCCAGGACATGCAGTAGAAGTTGCTTCCTGGATAGGTAAATGACCAAAATGGATAGTTATCTCCGACTACAGCTGTGTGTAGTTTCTAGTAGGCTGGAGACTGGGTGAAGCTTCTGTGCACCACTAACAGATGATTCTATGGATAGGCCAAAGAATAGGCCTCTTCTCAACAGCACAAGAGGAAGGAAAAGATCAATTGACTTCCTTTTATGTATGAACTGTAGTTTTGTGCATTTTTATGGGTATCAAGATTTATCTAATAAAATAAAGGTGACTGGCTTAAATTTACTTCCTGTTAGTTTCGGTGTATACAAGGCCCTATTCCTGTCATCCCACTCTTAAGAGCTTACTGCCCTAAAAGACAAAGCAGTGTTTTTATTTAGAGGACTGGTTAGAATAGAGAGTGAGAGATGTAGTGTAGCAGGCAGTGACCTCATGATGAGACTACTCCATTAATCAATATTTTAAAATCAGTGTTAGAACAGCTATAGTTAATGTGGATCACTTGGGTACAGTGAGCAGTTGGCCACAGTCCAAAACATTTCTTTTTCTCTCCACCAGTTCTGTTTCAGCTCACTAATAGCTCATCTGGGGATGCTGCTGTGTTCAGCTCATGGTCCAGGGATAAGTGTATTACATAAAGGAAAACTGTAATTTGCCTGGTTAGGTTTGTTTATTTATTTAAAGAAACCTAGCTATAGATCATACTAGATCGCTTAAATGACTGGCTTTTCCTTGAGGAAAACATGACCTTTGATTTTCTTTCTCTTTGTCTTCTTTTTTCTTTTATGTAACTTCATTGTTTTTTGGAACAACAAATGCTTGGACCTCTAATGATCAGCTCTGAACCCATTGGTAAAATTAATCCAGTCTCTCATGCCAGGAGGTGTTTGCCTGTATCCCCCCGTGTAAATAGTATCAAATGGGAAAGAAAAGATTGTTCGTGATTTAGGCAATATTTTGCAGGAACAGTAGCAATTTTATGTAAGAACCTTTTATAGGAGGGGTATGATGAACAGGAAGAATTTAATAAATCACAATGGCAACTGATCTTTGTGATGACTTTTTTATGTGAATTACTACAAAATTGAAAATCTGGAATTCAATGCAATTTTTAGTTTCTATGTTTAAATGCAACTCGTATATTTCAATGCATACACACTGAAAAATGTACTCTTGGTGATGCTCTGTAGATGGCCAGTAATGCATGATTGAAATGTCACTGATGTTACTAAACATCTAATTGATCGTGTGTTTTTCTTTCTGTGCAGAAGCTTCAGTATGAGGCGGGGTGGATGGAGGAAACGGGCTGCTGATGGCGATGGCTGGGGAATATGGGTATGTTTAAAACCAACTGCCTTTTTTCTTTGAAGAGGTAAATGGCAAAATGGGTAAGAAGGGTTTGCAATTTTGTTAAATATGCTAAAGGCATGCTATAAATTGAAACCTTTTGCTTCACTCGAAAAACACAATGTTTAAAAAATCTTGAATTTAATCTGGTGTTGATGTCTTAATTTGTAATCATCCACTAAATTGCATTATTAATATGTGCAGCTTTTGAATAGCTTTAACCACCATTTACAACTTAATTTTAAAATTATTTTTAGAAGTTAGCACCACTTTCTATATAGTTGGACGAACAGTAAGTGAGGCACCTGATTTACGTATGCTTCTATTGTCTTATCTATATTTAAGAACAGAAAATACGTGGAGCTTGACAAGTATTCTCTACATTGTTTCTTTGGGCAATGAGAACTCTGGCTTAGTGTCGTGGTTTAACCCAGCCGGCAGCTAAACACCACGCAGCCGTTCGCTCACCCTCCCCCCTCCCTCTCTGGGACGGGGGAGAGAAATGGAGAGTGAAGCCCGTGAGTTGAGATAAAGACAGTTTAATAAGACAGGAAAATAATAATAACAAAAATAATAATAACAATAATAATAATAATGATACAATGGTGATAATATGAAAGTAATAGTATGTACAAACAAGTGATGCACAATGCAATTGCTCACCACCCACTGACCGATGCCCAGCCTAACCCCGAGCAGTCCGGCCCCCTCCCCCCAGCTAGCCACCCCTATATATTGTTTAGCATGACGTCAGATGGTATGGAATACCCCTTTGGCTAGTTTGGGTCACCTGTCCTGGGTCTGTCCCCTCCCAGCTCTTACTGCACCCCCAGCCTGCCCGTTGGCAGGACAGAGCAAAAGGCTGAGATGTCCTTGGCTTAGTATAAGCACTGCTCTGCAACAATTAAAGCATCGGGGTGTTATCAGCACTCTTCTCATCCTAAGCCAAAACACAGCATTCCACCAGCTACTAGGAAGAAAATTAATTCTGTGCTAACTGAAACCAGGACACTTAGCATCCAAACTTGCATTACTCTCTGATCTCTCTTTTTTTCTTCTATAAGGGTTTTTACACAGATGGAATACCTTCCTTATAGAATAAGAAAAAAGGAGTATGAAATAAATCCTGCCACGTTGGTAACGATATACCGTACCTTGCAGATAAATTTTAGTGTAGAGGACTTGCTATTTTTTATTTCGGGGAAAAAAGCATGCATCTTTTGTAAGTCAACAAAAATAGATTCAAAAGAATGCTGCATACTTCCAGTCTTCTCATAATTGACTAGTTTCAGTCTGTAAACACAAGAAAACAGGACTAGCATCATGGGTTTTGTTTTGTTTGTCTGTTCAACTTAAACTAGGGAGGATACATGTCGGCAAAGGTTAAGAAATTGGAGGATCAATTCCGGTCAGATTCAGCCATAGAGCACCAGAGGGATGGAAATTCATCAAGTATCTTTAGTGGAGTCGCCATCTATGTCAATGGCTTTACAGGTGAAGCTTTTATTTTTTAAGGATCTGTTCTGTTTTGTTCCTATGTCTGTTCAATGTCCAAAGTGTAGTAAAGGACTATAAAACACATGTGTTTGTATCTAAGTAAATAAGTAACAATTATCGTATATCTTAAATTTTGTGTATTATGTTCCTTTTGTATTTCATTATTTAGGTTTTCAAAGTAAAGTCACATTTAGTTTCTGAATATATTTGTTACTTTACTAAATTGTTTACATGAATGGGCACTGCTAGAAATAGCAGCAACTTTTTCCACCTTTCACCAGAACTGTCTTGATTTCTTGTGCCCCATTCACTATTCAGAACATAGTACTTGCTTGTGTTGACCCAAACCTTTTGTTGCCAATGTGGCACCACTGTGAAGGTTTTCTAAAAGCTTTTTTTTCCTTTTTTTCTACTTCTGGCAAAGTATTCTTTTTTACATGATGAAAAATATTCCTAATGTGAATAATTACTGGGGTAATCAGTAATGTTAGAGGGAATAAGAATAGATGTTAGTTTGTACGGTAGTCTCTCTTCCTTGTAGTAATTCAAGAATAGTCTGGTAAGGAAATGTTACCTGCTTCATGATGTCAGAAATTATACAGTAGGAGTTCTTTGCTGTTGCTAAACCCTTTTGATATTAATTTTCTGTTCTGTATGTAAACTGTTATCTCAAACCAGTTACAATGTGAGTTAATCTAAGACTGCATTTTGTGTTATGTTGCAGTGAAGTGTGTTGTTTTTTGTTTTTTTTTTTTAGTTTAGCATTAAATCCACTTGAGTATTCTCCCCCCACTTACTTCATACATATTGTGGAAAGATCCTCTGTGACAATCAGAATGTTTGCATTTTGAATCACTCTTTTCAGAAATGTTTTTCTACATTTCTCAAGAAATGCATTTCTGATTTGGTCTTTGAAAACCTGCAAGGTTTTCAGGGGAAGAACGATGCTCTGTACTTGTTCTGATCATGACATTGTTTCTCAACCACTGTTCTTCTTAATGTATTTGCTGACACAAAGCAGGAATATTTCTGTTTTAAAATTTTATAGATCCCTCAGCTGATGAATTAAGACGGCTAATGATGTTGCATGGAGGCCAATACCATGTATATTATTCCAGATCAAAAACAACGCACATCATTGCCACCAATCTTCCAAATGCCAAAATAAAAGAACTGAAAGGAGAAAAAGTAGTTCGCCCAGAGTGGATCATGGAAAGGTGAGTTTTGATCTACTGCTTTTCGAGATTTCTTCATTTGGAGAGGGGGGGGAAAAGTAGAAAAATAGCTTTATAAAAGGTTTCATTTTGGGATGATGGTTTAGTTTAAAATAAATCTATCCTTGCAACAGCTGAGTAAAAATACCACTGTCACTTTGAAGATTTGCTTCTTGGTGATTGTTCCTTAGGTAACTTAGCAAAGAATATTCAGAAAATCTCAGGCATAGCGCAAACTGAACATTAGCCTGTTAATTCCATTTTAATATCCAGTCAATTGGCCAGCCCTCATCTCAATAAGTTTGAATAAATGTCAGATGATGGTTTTTAATTAACCTCTTGCCTTATGCTTTGCCTGAGTTTCTTATTACCTGTAAATAAAGAAGGTCAAATTTAAAAGCATTTTCATAAAAGTGAAATTAATCCACCCGAAGATTCATCATGTTATATGAGTTTGAAAAAACAAAATGAAACCCAAGGTTTGATTTCCAAATAACTTAAGTCTGTTGGTTCTTCTACTTGCTGAAATATATAGGTTCAACTAAAGTTGTCCTCAGGCCCTTGAAAAATATGATAGCTAGGCTCAGAGCACTTAATCTGGCTTGCATCTGTCTTCTGAGGAGCCCATGGGAAATATGGCAGGCAGGAATACGTTCTGGAAATCATTTTGTCAGTGTCATACTACTCTTAACTAGCCTCTCCTAGATGCCCAGCAGAAATAGGCAAAGAACTGTTTCTGTGTGCATACTTGTAAAATGCTGTTTACAGTTCCATATAACCTCTTGGTTTTGGACTCAAATGTTTCATAGCATGTAATTTCTTAAATGTGATTGTTGTTTGTTTGTTTGTTAGTTTTAATTTTGGTCAGAAAAGGCGGGTTCTTTGGTTTGGAAAAGATGTCCGTTTTTTGTTGTTGTTTTTAAAGCTTCAGTGTCTTACCCATTAACTTCAGTACTTGGAAAATTGGCAGGAAATGTGTTGTGGTTTGAAAGATGTGGATATTTTCATTGCCCATTAAAGTTCCTAGTGATTTTAACCAAGTTGGAAAAATCAGTTTACTTTCAGTAGAGACCTGCTAAAACCTAATCTATGAAATCCCCTAAAATTTTCCTTATGGTGTTTCGCATTTAGCTTCTGCATCTCCAGTTTTTAGAAGGTTGTACTGTAAGATAAGTCAGAAGAATTGAGGCCGGTTCCTGCAATTAGGCACAAGGAAGCAGGGAGCTGACTGTCTCAGTAGAACAGGGTTCACGTCAAAATCTGGAGTAAAAGCTAGTTTCACAAGTACACCCTATTTTTCCTATTCTCTCAACATTATTGAAGAACACTCGTTGGTTAAATACTCCGTCACTGTGTAGTACCTTGCCACATGGAGTACCAAGTGATGTTATCCTCAGTAGTTCAGTTGGTGAGAATCTGTGGAGTGGATCTAGAGGTTTGAAATTTGCTCAGTATTCATGTGCACTTCATGACAGTGCAATCTGATGGACTTTTTTTTTTGAGTTTGGTTAAAGTCAACCCTAAAATGTTACTGTCACGTATTGCCAATAAAACAATGCTGTTAGATCTTTAGTCCTGCCAACCAAGGTTGCAAAATGAAAGATTGTTTGTCCGTCCAGCTTTAATTTCTTTGTGTACACACATTATGATTTTGTTCTTAATTATATGATCACGTGTTGTCTTGTTTCACTATGGTACTTGCCACATTCTCTACACAGAAAAGACTGAATTCAGCTTACAAACTGCTAATTCATTGTCTTGTTTTCTGCTTCTTTTCTTTGTAACCCTATTCCTTATTTACTGCATGTGACTTGAAATCTTTGCTGAAAAATTGAATGAATAATTAATTCCCATCTTCTGTTGGTGCTTATCACTATAGCATCTGACTGCTTTCCAAAGATTAATGAACTTACCACAGCACTTATCACAATAGTTGTTATTTTAATTTTTTGTTTAGGGGCCACCAAAGAGATTTTGGTAAAACACCAAAAATGTCAGTAATTTGGAGTTTGCCATGTGAACTGTGTAAGATAGGATTTTTCAGAGTTACTTATACAAGAATGGTAAGGCATGTGTTGAAGTTTATTTCTGCATTAAAAGCTTTGCATATTCTGAACTGTGAACATTCTGATCTATGGTCCAAGTCAGACATTTATAAACCTGTTGTTAAGTGCAAATAGCTGTATCAGAAGCAAATGGAAGGCCAAAGATATTGCTGGCCTGCTCTTGAATGGCAGGGAAACCTCATGATAAAGAATATGGAAAAAGCTGAGGTGTTCGGTACCGTGTGTTCTTCAGCCTTTACTGGCACAATCTGCTTTCGTGCCTTGAAGGCCTGTGTGTCTAGTGGCAGAGTTTGGAGAAAAGATGTGCTGCTAAAGGTATACAAAGCAAAAGTTATGGTTCCCTTGAGCAAAGCTGACATAAACAACTCCATAGGACCAGGCAGGACCAGGGAAGCTGAAGAAGCCAGCTCATGTCAGTGCTATACTGCTCTGTCATCTCCGAACATTCATGACAATCAGCTGAAATCACAGAAGATTGGGAAAAGGCAAATGACTTGCCTGTCTCCTAAAAGGGAAAGAAAAAGAAGCCAGAAAATAACAGCACTGTGATCAGCTTCACCACAGTCAGTGAAGATAAAGGAATGTGCCTTTCTCGAAGCTATGTCTGGGGTGGCACGCCATGCGTGACCCATCTGGTTGTCCTCTGTGGTGAGGTGACTGGACAACGGGAGAGCAGTAGATAGCATTTGCTTTAACTTCAGTAGGGCTTTTGGCAGTCTTCTGTTGCATTCTTTTAGGCAAATTGAGGAGATGAAGATTGGATAGTGGGCTGCTAAATGGGTGAAAAACTGTCTCGACTGCTTGACTCAGATGGTAGTGGTCAGCATTTCAGTTGAACTAACATCTGTTTACAAGTGACATTTCTCAAGGGTCCATACCAGAGCTGTTGCACTTTAGTGGCTTTGTTAACAATATGGCCACTGGTGTGATGACCAATCTGTCTGACACTTCTGAAGCTACATCTGGAGTTCTGTATCTAATTTTGGGCTCCTCATTTACAAGAGTGAGTGCAGTGGAGAACTACCAGGACGAATAGGGGCCTGGAGCATGTGATGTATGACGAGAGGCTGAGGAAGCTGGTTTTGTTCAGCTTGGAGAGAGCACTTCGAAGGGGATCTCATTGCTGTCTTTCATTACCCATATGCAGGTTAAAGAGAACGTGGAGCCAGATTTCTCTTCAAGGTGCACAGCAAGAAAAGAAGCAATAGGTGCAAATTGCAGCAAAGAAAAACTTGACTGAGTATAAAGAAAAGATTTTTCACAGTGAAGGAGAGTAAGCAGTGGAACAGCTGCCTGAAGAGGCTGTAGACTCTCTGCCCTTGGGGATATTCAGTGTTTGGAGGGAGTCAGCCCTGAGCAACCTGAACAAAGTTAGCCTTGCTTTAAGCAGGCTTTGGACTAGAGACCTCTAGAGGTCCTTTCCAACCTAGTTGTTTAATCATTCTAAATTCTGTGATCTAGGGAGTGTGAAAAGGGGAAGGATGTTGAACAGTGCATCTCCAATGAGATTCCCACTGCTGCCTCTTAATACAGCTTGGGGGGGGGAAAGAAAACAAAACAGCTGTGTATTGATCTAGCAGCACAGTTATTCCAGTAGCTAAAATCATAGCATGAACAAAATCTGTAAATGCCTTTTTTTTAATGACCTTGAAATTAATGAAATGATTTTGAGATAATTACCTGAGTGGTTATGCAAGTTCACAGAGTGATACAGGAAACATTATAACCACACATTTTAGCAGCTGGTTGGCTGCATCAACATTTTCTATGCATCACCATTTTCTATACAAGAAAGCTTTGGAACTCTACCATGTTATTTTCAACTCTGGCAATATATAGTGTAAATCATATTCCTTTTTAAATGTAATATATTCACGTATCAAACAATATTTAAGTGATATATTTAAGAGTTGTTTCTACTATCCCATTCCCATAGAAACCTTACCATGTATCTATGTGTATGCTAGCTGGTTTTAATTTATCTAATTGGGTAATGCAATCTCCCATTGCATTCTTCCCTAATTGCAGCAAGACAGCTCCTCTGAAGGGCTTCTGTTCCACTGTTCAACTCCCTTGACTGTATTACTGATTGGAGCTTGTTAAAAAGCACATCTCCAAGAGCAAGTGTTCAGGTGTTGAAAAACAGCAAAGGAGTTTATGTCACTGAGCTAAATTCTCTTCAAAAATTTAAATCCAATTGTAACTTCAAAACTGAGCATTAATATTAAGCTGCTTTGATGTGAAAGAGGTTCCTCTGATGCAAGAAGCTTCTGTATCTGTGACAGCGGTCAGTATGACAAGTAGTACATGAATGAGAGGTGGAATATAGGCTGAGAATGTTATCTTTTCTACCAGCAACATCCATTGGGATGGAGAGATGAAATCATGCAGTAGAGTATTTTTGAGAGGATACCACTTCAGTGTCCATGATTTCACTAAGGAGTTTAGCAGTTATTGAAATACAGTTGCAGTTTCAGTGGGAGAAGGAAAAGAAGAGGGAGATACAGTGGACCATGTAGTACAGAACTGGAATGATTGTGGAGTAGATAATTATGGAACGTCTATTTGGATTTTTTCTTCTCTCTAGATTTCTTCAGTGGATTTTCTCACAAGAAGGGGTAATTATTCTTTTGGAATGGAAAAAGTGAGAGTTCCTCTTTAATAGTGAACTGCATCCTACCAGAATTCTTTCAAAATCTGCCCAAATTTACTTGGAACATGTGTACTTGAATTGCATCAAGTTAAGAGATCAGTCAGCATTGCTCAGTTAGAATAACCTGGACCATTCATGATAGATATAGATTGATTAATATCACTTTTGACTAGTTGGTGTGTGTTTTTGAAATGAAATATATGGGTATGACAAACTAACCCCACACAACTGTGCAAATGTCTTTTTTAGTAAAGACAGACATTGCTACATTGGATTGAACTGAGAAGTAATTTCTAGTTACTGGAGGGAAGAGGGTTTTAGAAAGGACAATAAGTGCGTATTGCAGAACAGAAATGGTAATCAACAAAATAATAGCTTATTGTATATTTTTTTAAAATGCTTTTAAATGTAATCTATTCCTTTTTTGTTTGTTTCAGCATAAAAGCTGGACGTCTCCTCTCGCACATTCCGTATCAGCTTTACACCAAGCAGTCAAGTGTTCAAAAAGGTCTCAGTTTTAATAGCATATGCAAACCTGAAGATGCCATGCCAGGTCCAAGCAATATAGCTAAAGATCTCAACAGGGTGTAAGTGTTTCTAATCATATGTGCTGATGCTAATCATTCAACCATAACTACACAACATTTTTAAATTGATTTTAGCTTTATAGGTAGCAAACTCTGAGGAACTGAAATAAAAAGTAGAAGTACATGTGATATAATATTTTCTTCAGCTTAGAGACAATGAGTCTGAGGGTGACCTCATGGCATCCTGCTGTCTACTCATGAGGGAAGCAGAGGGGCAGGTGCTGAGTTCTGCTCTCTGAGGACAGTGACAGGACCTGAGGGAACGGCATGGAGCTGTGACGGAAGGATCAGGCTGGGGGTTAGGAAAAGATTCTTTACCATCTCTACAGGGAAGTGGTCACAGCACCAAGTCTGCTGGAGTTCAAGAAGCCTTTGAACAATGCTGTCAGATCTAGGGTTTGATTTTTTGGGTGGTCCTTTGTGGAGCCAGGAGTTGAACTTGATGATTCTTGTGGGTCCCTTCCAACTTGGGAGATCAGATGATTCCATAAGTAGTTGAAGATGAAACTTCAATTCTCTAGACTCCAAGGTTTGTCTCTAATCTTTAGATGACACTGCTTGATAACATGACCTGGGAGTCCCTCTATATGTAGCGTATCTGTATGAAAGCAACAGGCATACATTAAAGGATTCTGACTAGTAACACTGAAAAGTAGGTCTTCATTTCAATCATTTTTGATTACTTTAGCTAAAGGTATCTAGGAACAAATATTAATGCATGCTACTAGTTAAATTCTTAGTTTAGCCTCTTTTTTAAAAAAATAAGTGTACCTTACATATGATAGCACGAAGATTTGAGTGATGCTCAAGAGAGAAAATGGATTAAAAAATCCTATTACAACAAAGAATTTTCTAAAAGACTGCTAGAAGGGAACAGAATCAAAGACAGTAGCAAAACTCTGGTAGAGAAGTTAGAAGGTGAAAAGAAGCCGTCTACTTGAACAGTGTGTTCTGTAGAGGTGAATTTATTCTTTTTTAATTAAGATGGTTATTGCATTTTTTTCAGAAGAATGTGTTTTACTTTGTTGTACAGAGACGAGAATGACAGTATGGTTGAGGTTGGAAGGGACCTCTGGAGATCATCTGGTTCAATGCCCTTGATCAAGCAATACCAAAGATACTGTACAACATACTATAGTTTGGTTATCGTGATCTCTGTTCTTCCACAGTCCACTGATGAATTTAAAATCCAGTTGTGTGTAATGCTAGGGAGACTATACCATGAATAAGATTTTATATTTTTAGGAACAGATAAAAACTGGAACACAAAACAAATATCCTAAGTGGTATTTCTTACCTATATTTTGAATGGTGTGTGATATTTTCAACATCACCTCTAGCTATTGAGTTGTTGATGTTTTTTTAAATGCAAGGAATGTTCAGATTTCTAAAAATATTAATTTAATCTCAAATTGTAAATTTCAAAGCCTTTACACTGCGATACTACGTACCACTGGATATACCACTTCAAAGCATGCAACTCCTCAAAACTGTTATGTTGAATATAATTTATAATTGTGATAATCTTAACAAAATCATAACAATTAAATTGCTTTCTGGTATACTGGATAGTTAATTATTACCCATGTGTTTTTTGTGAGTGTACTTAAATTGCTAGCTTTGGGAGTTGGGAGTGGTAGTTGTTTTTTCCAGCAGACCTAGAGTATGCACAGCTTTCAAAGGCTATGTTTTTAATTCTGCTTAGGATTGCTATAAAGTTAATTTTTTTTGGAATAAAAGCTTTCTTTACAGCATCAAAGTAAATATAAATTGCCAGTACACTTGTAGAAGAATATTTTGTTTTACATGCTTAAAAGATTAAAATCATTCTTGCCCTTTAAAAAAAAGTTTGATTTACAGTGCTTGAACAGGTTTCTCCTTGAGAGAAGATAAAAGGAATCTAACACACTGAACTAAATTGCTTTCTAAAAAAATTGAAATTTTCTATTTGTACTTTTTTTTTGGTAAAAAGAAGAGTAAAATTACATCTGATTTAAAAAATAATTTTAAACTCTCCTGCACCATTATTGCCATGCTGTCCATGGCAATACGTTTCTGTTACCAAATAATTGTAATTCCATTGGAGACTGATTATTTTTGACTGGTGAGTCAAAATAAAGGGCTTGGGAATAGGAGTGCCCAAAGTCATGCTCATGTTAGAAAAACTGTGTAATATCCTGGTAATGCTGCATTAATAACAGAGCAAATCTGTGAAATTTTTTGTACAGCTCTGCAATATTTTGTGACATTGAGAGGACATAGCCCAGAATTTGCAATAATTGTCTTGAGACTGTAAAAACTTCCCAGGTATATACTGATAACAACTGATAAGATAATACCTAGCACTTGAAGTGACCTGTAAGTATATCTTTTTTTAAATAAAAGAAACTATATTAAATTATCATATCTGTTTCAGAAATCATATTAAAAAGTGTGAGATGGAAAGTGAGATCACACCCAATGGAACAAGTAGCTGGAATGAAGAAGAGGAAGAAGAAGATGGTGGTTTGGCATTTACAGAGCTGGAGCAGATCCTTCCTGGAAGGAAACAGAATGGCATTCAGTCTCAGAAGGACAGCACTGCCATTTTTAACGGACACACACACAACACTTGTACCAGTGCCTTAAAAACGCAGGATTGCTCGGTGCCCTCCAGCAACAGCGTTGCAAGTAGGTTCTCTCCAGGCCCTGTGCAGGAGGAGGACAAGACTGAAAAAGGCATGGTTGACTTTAGAGACTGCACAATGCAGCAGTTGCAGCAAAGCAACAAAAATACAGACTTTTCGTGGAATACACATAGGACTATGAGTAATTCATCCTCATCTTCATCTTTGCACAGTAATACTAAAATAAATGGTGCTCACCACTCCACTGTTCAGGGGCCTTCAAGCACAAAAAGCACTTCTGTACCTAATCCTAGCAAGGCAGCTTCCTTACCTGTGTCCAAACCTTCAGATTGTAATTTCATTTCTGACTTTTATTCGCGTTCAAGACTACATCATATATCAACATGGAAGAGTGAATTGACTGAGTTTGTCAACAGCCTGCAGAGAAAAAACAGCGGTGTCTTTCCAGGAAGGGAAAAATTAAAAAAATGGAAAGCAGGCAGGTCTGCACTTAAAACTGACACAGGTAGATACTTGTTTAAGAAGGTTTATGTTGAGAAGGTACCTTATATCTTTGTTCACACAGTGAATGTCTAAATGAGGTGAATTAGGTTAATGTTCAATATTCACATTACAGGCTGTCTGGAAATGCTTGTGACTTCGATGTGCTGAAAACTAAAAGATCAACTACTTCTGTGTTTGTTAAATTGTGACTTAATGCAATACTCTGGTCTGTTTTCAATACTTCTTGTAGAAATACTGTTCCTGACTTTACAAAGATATGCAGATTGATCGAAGGGGTGAAAATATATCTATCAAAATGTGCAGGTTTGCAGTTGCCATGTGAAAGCCTAAAGGAAAAAAAACACATTGCTGCTTTTATATAGTTCAGTATGAAAAACTGAAAGATGAGTAACATTTGGAAATGAGATACTAACAAAAAACTAATTTAGATTTCTGTGTACCTCTGGGTCTGTTTAAATGAGTAATAGTGTCATATGATACTTCTGAACCTTGCGTGTGACAGAAGAGAAATGTTTTGTCATTATATTGCACATCAAGGGCCAAAATGAAAGTATGTGTAATTTATGAGAGGCAAAGTGTTGCACATAGCGATTTAAGTATTTTGCATCTTTAGAATCTTAATTTAGTCTTATGCAATTAAAAGACTAGTTCTGTTCTGTTAAAGAGAGTGACTCTGCTATGCTACAAAAATATTCACTTATAATCATATGAAAATATGCTCCAGATGATGAAGTACCACGTTCTAAAAATTTATTGTTAGATAAATAATTTAATGGATTTTGTGTTTATGCTATCACGCCCCAGTTATAAAACATGTTAGCTTATAAACTACCTTAATGCATAATTTTCTGACAAAACATGGTATAAGCTAATATATCTTCCTCTTTGATTTGGCCTGGAGAATTCAAATAATTGCTCTGTTTCAGCTGACAAGTAGCAAATTCCGAGGTACCAACTTGATTGCATGATTTGTAAATAGGCCCCTCATAAGACAGTCTTGTTCTTGTTTTGGTTTGTTTGTTTGGTTTGGTTTTTATGAACGAGCCCCAGTGGTAAATTATGAAAAACAGGAAAGCATTTTTTGATTATTCAGCAATTGCCACTGTTGTCAGGCAACACAATTCAGTTGATATGTAAAGTATTTTTTCACTATTACACAGTATGTATTGTTCAAATTACGATATTTTTTGTTAGTTCTAGCTTCCTCTAGTAAGTCAGCAACATAGACTTAGACTTGAGCATCTAGAATAATTGACAAACTATGTTAGCTGTGTAAGTTCTTCAGTCTTTAGTTGTCTTGCTCATGTTAGCGTGAACGTAGTACAGCAGCGATGAAATCCAGTTGTGTAGAATGTTTAACACTCATTTTGTGTGTTTGATGAAGAATCAAAGGTAGTTCTCAGTGTAGCTGAACTTTTTTTTTTTTTAGTCTTTTAGAACAGTCTTCTGATCAACAAACAAAAACGTTCTCTGCTGCGTTGTGTTAACACAGTGGAGTTAAGATTCGGTATCCATAATGTGCATTAATCTCCTTGGGTTGAGGGAACTTGATATAGCAAGGCAGAAATTGTTAATTGCAAGAAAATAAAATGGAAACCTCAAGTTGATGAATTTTTTAGGGTGCTTAGCTACTGTATATTTACATTACTGTGAGAATTTAGGAAATGTGTATGGTGTGGAGAAACAGAAGTCCTTTTAACTTAAAAAGAAGTCTTTTTAACTTAAGATGGTTTAAAAAAAATCTATAGTCCTTGATGACTACTGTAATTAGTACTAAAGTATATAAATTAGGGTTCAAGTTTTCTATTGGTATATCTTCATACTAGGTAATGTGTCTGTTGCAAGCTCAGCCAAGCCGCAGAGCTGTATAATGCACGTGGATATGGATTGCTTCTTTGTGTCTGTGGCTACCCGAAATAGACCCGATCTCAAAGGTAAGTATTTCATTCAAGATACTACAATTTCCTCAGTTAAGCCTTAAAAAAAAAAAAAAAAAAAAAAAAAAAAAAAAGCTGTACAAATGAACTTTGTTATTCTTTTTTGTTATCGTTGTCTGATACTCAGACCATGTGACTTTCACATCCTTATTTTCTCACAATCCATAAGCAAATGGAAGAGAGAGCCAGAATTGCCATTAGAAGTTGGAGCGTGCGATCATTCTTACAACACGCAAAGAGTTAGTGGAGCTCCTTAGCAAGTTGTTTGTTTGTTTTCTAAAAGCATAACATTCAGAAATGGAAATACTAGTGCTGTGCAAACACTGAACTTTGCTGATGCCCAAGTCTGAAGATAGTGTGACTATCTGATGCCCAGCTGTCATAGACCTTGGGAATGAAGAAGAGAGAGCTGTGTAATTCCTTTCTTCTGCCCAAAAGCAGGAGCAATAGTGTCAAAGATGATTCTAGTCTGTGTGTGTCTTTAAAACTTATTTCCTGCCAAGTTTCAAATTCCTTTACTAGAACATAAAGAGCCGAGGACTTTCTGCAAGTATTTTTTTCTGTTCTGTAGAAGCCTGCCAGAACTTTTACTGTGTAAATTAGCTTGCTGTAGAAAAATTATGGAGGTGTTGATATTACTAAAGTCAAAAGTTTAGCTAGAGACTTGATGTTACACAGGTAATTTAACAAATGAAACTGAGCGTGATGGTATGCATATGCTCTCTTACTTAAGCTAAGTATTTAAAATCAATACGGTGTTTGCTAATACGGTGTAAACTAATGAATCATTAGGGCATTGGTGAAGTTTCACAACTTTGATTTGTAGTAATTAGTAAGGACAAACAAATATGGTTGTGTTTTCACCCTTTCAAAACTTCTCTCTTTGCTTTCTAATTGCAGTCATGAAATCCATAGTGTCAGTGCAAAATCACTTCCATAGCAGTTTCCTCCCTAATGCTGTTGAGAGTGTGTAAGCTTGAAAGAAATCACTAAAAATAGAGCAGACTTCTTTATAATCTTACCTTAGTTACAGAGTTATCAAAATGTAAACTATTAGCAGCGTTGACATAATTCTAAATATGTGCATTTCTTCTCCACAGGAAAGCCAGTAGCTGTTACTAGCAACAGAGGGGCCGGAAAGGCACCGCTGCGCCCTGGTGCAAACCCCCAGCTTGAAAGGCAATATTACCAGAATAAGCTATTGAATGGCAAAGCAGGTACAGATAAGTCTGTTTGTTTAAATTGTTTTGTTATTGAAGACTTTTTCCTTAACGTGCATAATAGAACAATTGTTATTGTTTTTTGTGCAGAATTTCAGAAAAACGTCTTTGGACACTAATGCTCTGTGGCCTCAGTGTTGATGTGCCACTGACTTTTTTATCAGTTTTCTTTGCACAATGTGGGTGAATTATTTTTGAGTAATTTTAGATTTTAATTTATTGAGTATGAGGTATACTAAGTAATCTTAAGTAAGAAATAAAGTCTGGGATCATTCAGTTCTGAGTAAACCTATTATAGAGAAGGTACAAAATGAATTTTATAAGGCTACTTTTTTAATTATAAAAGTAGAAATGACAGATTAGAAAATCAATTGAAGTTGGCTTTTGAATTGTATGGGTACAATATCAGTGTACAGTGAGTTAAATTGGGTGCTTCTTATTGCATTTTGGGTGTCTGGAAGTTCTGTGGCAACTCCCATGAGTAATTTGTTTTCTCAAAACCAGGGCATTTGTAATTTTAGAATTCATTACTTTCCTACAGTAATGTTGAAATTTTTTACTTTGTGTGTAAACAAAACGTACTATTAGTGAGAAGCTTTATTATTGTTGGACTGCCTGAACTGCATTTACTATGAGAAAGTAAATTGCTAAACCTAACTAGCAACTTTTCTTCTTTTTTTTTTCTTTTTACAACAGTCTGCATAATCAGTTTGAAGTTTTAAGTAACTAAGTATCTTTGTGCCCTTACTTAATTTCAGTTTAGATTTGGAAATTGTTTTTCCTCTGCCCTTTGTCGGTGCACTTTTCTTACCTGCCTTGCAGTAGGAAATGCTGTTGTTCTAAAGTTTACTGTTGAGTTAGTTTTATTGTTGATGCAAGAGGGGAAAAAAACAAGATATTACAGGAAGTGCTGCCATTTCATTTGCGTTTCTGATGCAGTTTCACACTTTGAAACTGAAGTAGAATATATGTTAGTGGAACCCATTGGCCTTGAACTTTCAAAAGACTCTTCAGGATGCTCCAGACTTAGCTTGTGCTGTGTTGGCAATGCCATGTATAAGCGTGTTACAAAGATAGCTGTGGTTTTTATGGAGTTGGGTTTCTGTAGTAATGGCTTGTGTATGAACTATTTATTGGTAGCTCAGTTTTACGCAGTGGTATCGTAACTTTTATTAGGTCCTTAGACTGGATAAGGATGCGACTTAATATAGTCGAGCAAAATGTGGAGAGTGAAGTGGTTAAAATTAAGGAAGTTTAGCTGATAACCAGCATGTTCTTTATGATTCACAAATTCAGTAGTATCTTTTCTACTATATGTATTGCTTAAAGGTACAGCACACTTCAGCCTCATTGTATAACAAACTCAGTTTCTTACTGCAGCAGCTTTTTCTGAACATACACATTCATGTCTTTTAACTTCACCATCCAATCTCACTGGCTTGCATACAGGCAGGCAGCTATCTCTTTCCTTCTTGATACTTAGTCTGATTATACAACCTGTTGTTTTGGTGAAAGGATTTTTTCTTACCACTCTTTTTACAGTCTCAATCTTATTAGCTGCAGGTTCAGAATATATTTTGGTCTCTAATTTTTATCTCCATATACAATGTTTTTATCAACGAAAATGCAGCATGCTGTTTCTGCTTGCATTTTCGTAAGTACATGAGTTGTCTTTTGGGGAGAAGAAATTACAATTAGTTATAGTCTTAGATGAAAAGATGGAAGTGCAGGTTAGATTTTTCTAACACCACGGTATCTTAGAAGGTGTACGTGAAACACTTCACAGCATGTGCTTAATTGTGCTATGCCACAAGTAAATATGGTCCAGCAGGCACATATTTCACATAGAAAAATGTTTTTTCTAAAATATCAAAAATACCAAATCTTAAACTGTACTCTGTTAAACATACACAATTGAGTTTGGGGGGAATGTTTTGTAAGTTGAAATAAAAAGGTAGTTGGGAACAACTTTCAGCACAAACATATTTTTGCATCCATGTTTCACCATGGAACCAACTTCATTTTGTAATGCTTCATGCTTTTCAGACCGTTGTCTGATTTTTGCCTTCTCCGGGTCTTTCCTATTAGAAAAAAATGTTTTAAATTAACAACCAGCAAAACAAAGGAAAAGAAAAACTTACGAATCACTTAGTTTCACCAAATACCGAATTCTGCAGCTTCAGCTACCTTTTTTTTTTTTTTTGCACACTACTTCTTTAGTGATACTGGTTTTCCTGCCTTTGATCTGCATTGTTAGACAGATATCTATTATCAAGGGAATCTTGGATCTTTTATGAAATACTTTCTTTTTCTTGTTTGAATTCATCCAAATATGTATAACTTCTAAATTAAAAAAATTCTCTAAATCTCCAAATTGGAGATGGACTTCCTGAGTAGTAGAAATTATTTCTCTACATACGTGCCATCTTTAACATTCATGTCCTAAAGTTAGAGGATTAACATATGTTAATCAAAATTCATAGTTTGTGGTCTTTTTTTCCATGGCCAGGATGCCCAAGATGTGAATGTTTTTTAGGCTTCCTTTCCCCCAACCCTAGTATCTCCCCCTGTTTTTCATTCTAAAGAGCAGCAGTTTTTAACCATCATATTAGTCACAGATTTATTCTCAGCGATTTCTTTTTCACAGACTTGGGTCCTGGCCTCTGATTTCTCCATCCGTTGCTCCACATTCACCATGTGCCTGTCTAGTTTCCCAGCTTTTGGTGAGAGGTTCTCTACCTTGCCTTCCATTGAGGACAATGTGTTCTGCATTGCCCTGAATTTCACATGAAGTGACTCCATCAGCTCATGGGGGGATCTGCTCTGCTGCGATGTGGAAAAAGTCGACGAGTCCAATGAAGATAGACAAGATGACAGCATCATCTCAGGCCAGGGCACAGGAAGGCACGGACTAAAGAAATTGTTCTTGTCATTCTTACCTTTAGTTGGGGCACAATTTTGCTCTAATTTTCAGCTGCAGACATCTTAGGTAACTTACTGAGCTCATCATACATTAAAATATTTAAGACATAAAAAGGTACATGAATTTAGCAGAAATTCTGAATAAAAGCAGCTTTTCATGAGTTAGGTTCTGCCCCTGCTGTCTCCACTCATTACAACACTTTCTCCGGTCTGATACCAACTTGCCTGTGCATGCAGCACCATGTTTCCTTTCAGTCATGTGGTTAGTGTGTAAGTTGTTGGTACGGTGAAATATATTTAGGCACTGTGACACTCTGAAGAAAATTCCATTGATTATAATAAAGGTGTATTGATATTAAATAGATTGTAGAATGAAAAGGAACTACTAGATGCATAGTAGGTTTCATTTTAAGTAAGCAGACATTTTCTGTCTGTGTGATACCTTCTTGTTTTGATTCTGGTGAGCTTGGGAGGGCATAGTGGTTACTGCATCTAGACATTTTTTCAGACTGATCAGTTGTTCAGAGTACAAGCGTGTATCTTTCAAGGTTTGCATACCATGAAAACCCAAATAGAAGGAGAATGTTCCACTCAATTCCAGTATTATGTTATGAAATAGTTTTAGTATCTAGTGTATCGTGGACCTGATGGGCTCGTTAAAACTTACCTGAGAGATGTATAGAATTAGGAAAGGTCTGTCTCATTTTTAAAATTCTGTGGCTGCAGCATTTATAATTTTTTGTCTTTTTGATCCAAGAGAAATTTATGGTGATGCTTGAAAGAAGTTGATATATTTGATGTATTCTAATCAAATATGTAGTAGGAAGAAACAACAAGTTTTGTTGATTAATTTCCCCATAAGAGTGTTAGAGGAAATACAAGGTACTAGCCCGTGTTCTATTTTGTTTTAATTTGATAAAATTAGCCTTCTTGCTATTTCACTTCATCCCTTAAAAAAAATCACTTTGAGGTATCTAGATTAAGTAATTATTAGAGCGTAGTTTTAAATAATAGGTTATAAGTATCATGAACAGTGGAATTGTATTTTGAATGTAGTTGCTTTGTTCTGGTGGTAGGTAGTGGTGCATTCTAGGAAGGAATATAGCTAAGCATCTTGTTCTGGCAAGCACTTGGCAAATTTGCTTACAGGATAGGCTTGGAGCAGTCTCAAGCATTGGATCATTTTATTGTCATTAAAGCTAACTGAGATAAGTCTTATATTACAGCATAGTGTATGTAGCCACCAACAAGCTGTTGTCTAGTATTTGGGGGGAAAACAGAAATGGAATTTTTCTGTAGTACAGTATTCTTTTCAGTAATGTGTGCAGACCTACCTGTAGAGAGAGGTTATTGTGTGGGGGCTTCTGTGTTTTTACTTTATTTTTTGTTTACCTTGACTATGATGTGAATCAGTATAGTATTAATTTCTCACCAACGGTAGTATAGAAACTGTATCAAATATAATCTATTATTTTTACTTAATTTACATTGATTCTGTTGAACTCCTAAGAAAAATATTATAAAAATGAATATAAATATTATTTTCCAAGCAGAAATTAGAGTACCTGATAAGCTGGACTCATCGTTTTGGGAGCATCCGGATTCCACGCACATGAATGGAGGTGACTTCAATCAGACAGTTCTGTCCATGGCTGAAATTGCTTCTTGTAGTTACGAAGCCAGGTAGGTAAAAGTTACCTATCAATTGCTGGAAAAATCTCATACAGATAGGCATAAAATGTAAAACAAAACAAACAAACAAACAAAAAAAAAGGCAGTTGTTAGGTCACACTTCCTTAAACTTACCCAGATCAAGAAAGGTTTTTCTTTTCAGAAGCTGTGGTTAAATAGGCTGTTAGAATTTAGCACAAGGTTTTCACTGTGCATGTTGCTGATTCTTAAACGCTGTTTAATAGCTCTCTGCCTAACCTACATGTTACTTAAAACAAAACCTATTAAGGAAAACCATGTCATTCACAGTGATACTGTTGGTTTCATAATGTTATCTTCATTTCATTGCATCCAAACTGCATTATTTCATGGAATTAAGAACACTTTGTTACTGAAGGTTTTAGTTAAAATGAGACAACGGTAAGTGTTATTACTAAGAACTTTCTTGCAAATTATGTTGAGCACCAAGATAGCATAGTTTATAAATATTCAGAATATGAAACAACTTGTTATAAACAACCACAGTGTTGAAAAGTAAGACCTTATTCTCTGATAAAAGTAATACTCCAGAAATTGTGCGTTTGTTGGATCCTTTCTCAAGAGTGCTAGAGTAGGCAAGTTTACATTTCTACATTGAAAAGTTAGCTTGTTTATTACAGCAGCAAAATGTTATAAATCTGCACAGTGGTTAGTGGAAAGTGGAAAAACAGCTATCTTAGTCACTGTAGTATATGTTTGCATTTTATTTAAAAATAAAATGGCAAGTAATTGCTTTCTAGAGACTTTCCATCTTAAGCACGTTTCCAAGGATAGGCTGTCCAAGCTGCATGCCTGAATATTATACAGTTAATTCAAATACTCTATTTGCAGTTGTTTTTCTTGCCATTTGCTAGCAGTTGAACTTAATCCTTTTTATTGATGTTATTGAATTTATTTATTTTTGTGGGAAGAGACTAGTAACTCATTTGGAAACAGCCCATATTAACATAATCTGTGGAAAAGTTGATACAGTATTTGTGTGCTTTTTATTAATTTTTAGACAAGTTGGCATAAAGAATGGAATGTTTTTTGGCCAAGCAAAAAAGTTATGTCCAAATCTTCAAGCAGTTTCATATGATTTTGATGCATACAAAGAAGTTGCACAGACCGTGTATGAAATACTAGCAAGGTAAGGTGTACTGGGTGATTATATGTTCTTCCATGGTAAGATTATCAAGCATATTTTAATATGCTACTGTTAATGCCATTTTTTTAATTTAATATTTTCATTCCACTTTACTCTTTAACTTCATTAAAACTATTACTGTTTAAGTCTTTCTTTTGTAGTATTTTTGTTACTTCTTACTCTGAGCACTGTCCTTCTTCTGAGTATTCTTTTATCTTGAAGCCAAACAGTCAATGTCAGGCTTCCAAAGAAGTCATTGTTAAACTTGCTACTGATAACACCATGAGGAGAAGTGGGTCTCTCCTTACTAATGAGATTCTTCCAAGGTGTTTTATTTTTTTCCTGCCGTTTGTTTGGTGAGGTTGGGTGTGAGGTTTTTTTGTGTGTTTTTTTGAGTAATTTAAGAATGAATTATTGGAATAACAACTATTAGAAACTACTTTCTGATTTAAAATGCACTCGAACAAAACTGGAAATTTGTTAGTGTGACTGAAAAACAAGCATTCAACTTTTGCTCCAGCTGTCGCTTTAAAAGCATGATGCATGTTGAAATTTGTCCTACATTAGTGATGTTACTGTAATGTGCTGTTCTAGGATTTTTAATACTTTGTGTCAAACAAAATAAGCAGGGAAATGCCACCACAAAAGGAAGACTTTATTTGCTACATATTTGTTTTAACAGATGGTGAGCTGTTGCTGGTGTTTCACCTCCTTTACTTTGTGTTGATAGCTATACTCATAACATCGAAGCAGTCAGTTGTGATGAAGCACTAGTAGATATCACTGAAATCCTTACAGAGACCAGATTGACTCCTGATGAGTTTGCAAATGCTATCCGCACCGAAATCAAAGCCCAAACTAAATGCACTGCTTCTGTTGGGATGGGTAAGTACTTTATTTCACTTCCATTTACAGGGACTGCCCGCTTTTGTTAGGCGTATCAAAGCTATATAAGATTGCCATAACTCATAAGTGTTTGTGCAATGTGGAATATATTGCCATTTACATTAAATTACCATAAATGAAAATGCAAGTAAATCTTCATAAGTGGAAAGTTTTTGCTTAAAACTTATAAAATTACTATCACTTCTCCTTTGATATCTGAACAATAAGCTAAAATTCCATCTGTGTGATATTCTTACATACGTTTTAATGAAATGCTACTGTATTTTCCCAGTAAATAGAAAAATGGGTACAGACTCTGTTGCTTATAGAAGAAGGCAGTAAGAGTTTATGAGGATTTAACATAATTATAAGGTGTTGAAAGCAAAGATTTCTGTGATTTGTAGCGGGTATTGTATGTGAAATTACATATCTAAAAAGACTTTTTTGTTGCTGTTCCTAACGGTATTAGACTTAGCATATGTATTTACAGATGCTTAAGTGTACATAAGTATATAAAATCCACTTGTGATGTAAGCAGAATTCTCCCCTTATTTCTTATGATACCATAGTAACAGAGAGACTAGTTCTCTAGATTCCTGTTTGTTTTTTACTCTTATATGTATATTTAGTGTTTCATTTTTTCTATAGAAAGAGCAGATTTACTTTAAAAAGTATATTTTTATAATTTGATATACTAGTTCTCTTTCTGATTTTAAGAGACAAATACATGTGAGGAAATACTTTTTTAATATTTTTTGTGAGGTTTTTGAAAAATGTCCTTTATAGAAATATGGTAGGTATTGTACAAGAACTTTCTTTTCACTCATAATTCATAAAGTAAAGGAATCAGAAGGAACAGTTACACTATTACGTGAATGTAGAGACATGATTTCAAAGATGTGGTCTATCAGAAATACCTTGTGTAAGTGATCTGTATGTTTCCCTGATGGGAAAGCTGTACCAATATAATAGAATGTAAATTTGAACAAATGCTGCTATACTATAGAGATCTCTAAAAACTATTTATTTCTGATTAGAGATAAATTAAGGATACCAGTTGAAATAAATTTAATTTTTACCCTAGAGATTCTAATGGCTAAACTAAACTGATTTAAACAATGCTAGTGAAAGATTAAACACTCATCTGTAAACATCCTGTATCCTGATTTTTCATTTGTTAAGTGAGGTATTAATTTTTTCCTACTTTATTTCAGTGTTCTGGGAATAATGATTAAAGAAGATAAATCACTAAGATTTTGTGGTATTAGAGGCTGTGTTGGTGTGTTTGGTAGATAAGAGGATCAGAAGTCTTCAGTACTCTATAGACAGAACAAGGATCTCCAGAGTTAAACAGCAGATTGAATGGGGACTATCAAGAATTGCTTCATCAGTTAACTTCTCAGGAGAAACAATGGACACAATTCTGTGTTGCTGTGCTTACTTTCTAAAATTTTAGAGTAGACTAAAATAATATGAACACAGATGGAAGGAAAATAGCGATAGTAACGCATAGTGCTGAGAGCTCTGGATTTCCCTGACGTTTTTATCAGCTTGCTTTATCTTAGAATGAGGCACCTGTGTAGCAATAATGAATCTTTTTGGGTATCATTTCAGAGATGTTGTTGGCTGGGCATGAATAAGCCTATGAAGAGGGAAGAAAAAATGTTGAAATAAGTCTTGTTCCCACCACATGTAATGAGTGCACAGAATAATTTAATGAAGTCACTTTTTTTAGTGAATACTTGAAGCCCAAATATTAGCTTAATTCCAGTATTTCACATGTAATAGATACTTGATAGAATTGTCACCTAATTATTACTTACATTGACCACAGTAGACTTTTTGGAAGCTACAGTGTTAAAGTATTACCATTCTACGTTTTTACTCGTTTGCAGTTAACTGTTTTCTTTACCTCTACATGTGTAGAACATCACCAAGACAAAGACTGAACATTCTTTATGAAATGTCGCACACTTGTTGGTTGCTTTGTTTGGGGGTTGTTTTTTGGCTTCTGTTTTTGTTTAATTGCAAATGCAGTTACCACTAGTTACTCTGCTGTAATCATAAATATTGCTAATTTTGGAGTCGAGATAGCAAAATATAAATAAATAGGTTTCATTGACTTTTTATTTAAAAAAAGAATTTAACTGTACTTTATTCTTCTTTTTTTTCATGACTGTTGAACTGCAGAATTCTACTTGAGAAGACAAAGGTTACTACAGACATATTTTAACTTTTCATTTTTACAGGTTCGAATATTCTGCTGGCCAGAATGGCAACTCGTAAAGCAAAACCAGATGGACAGTATCACTTAAAACCAGAAGAAGTGGATGATTTTATCAGAGGTCAACTTGTTACCAGTCTTCCAGGTACTACGTTCTTTTACAAGACATTTTGCCCCCTAATTTAAAGGAGTTTCAGCTTAAAAATCTGCTTTGTTCCAGTTATGAATCGGGCAAGATTAGATGTTATTTCCATGGTTATTATCCAAAAAAGAAAGATACGTTGATTTCTGAAATTTTCTGGAAAGAATCTGAGACTTTTTGTTATCTTTGAGGAGCTTTTTTTTTTTTTTTTAAGAACTTTACAGAGCCATTCAATGTCATTTGTGGAAGAAGCTCAAAGTTTAATGTGTTATACAATCTTATGTTCTTTAATAAAATTATTTAGATGAGTCATCTCAGGCAAATGCTAGCTTGCTGTAATGGATGAAATAAAATGAGTAACATCACTTGTTATCAGTAATCATCACAAAGACAGGCAGGATGTGCTTAGAAAACAGAAATAGCCCAAGAATATTCTTTCCAAAAAGGAGTGTATAAAGTCAAGCGTTGGAAAAAATAGCATAAATATCATAACAAATCGAGACCATATGAAAGAGGGAAAAAAAAGGAGAGAAGTTCATCTGCTGCATCTAATAAACTACGAGAAGCACTGAAGAGTATAAGCATAGAAGGGAAAGAAAAATTGTCAGAGGAAAGTTTTTACTGAATTAGATGCTTCTGCTTGTAACATGAGCCATAATAGAATGGCAGATAAACAGAAAAGTATGTGAAGAATAAGGCTATTGAGCGTTACCACTGTTACACTTTGCATCCAGCTGTAGACAGTTTTTGGTTCTGGTAGATTTAGAATACAAATTAAGCACTTGTTACACGTGGAATTTTTTTTTTGTGTGTGTGTAAGGATCTTTAGGTAATGGTATGCTAAAAATTGTGACAAAGTGTTGATTCTATAAGAAAGAACAAAAGGTTTGAATTCCGACTTTTTTTTGCCTAGTTATCTGAGGAAATTACTGTGATGGTGATTATGACTTATAAGTGTGTTGCGACAGCACTAATAACTTTGAACTATTTGGCCACTTCAGCTTAGTACCCCCTTACTGAGGGGAGGGGTAGAAGTTTTAAAGATGTTAAATGTTTCAATGTTTCACACAAGTTTTATGTGAGTTATGTAGGAAAGAGAAGGGCTTTTGAGTAAGGGAAGAGTTATTGAGTGGTATTATTATTATTATTAGAGTGGGATTCCTGTAGATATAAAGATGTATGGAAAATGCTGTAGGGGAGGCATTTCTGGCCCACAGCTTTTAGGGAGGTTCTTCAAGGCACAATGGAATTCGACAGACGGCAGAGATTTGGAGTTACAGTGAAGGAAGAGTGATAGGCAGTAAGGATATATGGAATACACCTTTACAAAAATGGTTTTCAATATATATATATATATATATATATATGTATGTATTTTATAGTTCCAGGAAAATACTTAAAAGAGTTGTAAAATAAAGTGTTTTCTGCCATGTAACTCTAGTGTATTGGTATTCAGTACTTTAGTAGTATAATGTGACACAGATGTAGTCCAAAAAGCGCTGAATAAGCACTCATTTCTGTTTTGTGTGCTAGCGATCAGCTGAGTTCAGCCTGCAATTGTGCACACATTTAACATTAAATGTTGAAAATACCTTTCTCTGTTAAAAAAGGAAAAAAAAAAGAAAAAGGGAGGAAGGAGGGGAATATGAAAAAATCACTGAAATGGAAAAGTGGTAGGAATAGCATGCATACACAGGTGCAGGTTTACCAGAAATTTTCTCTACGCATTCCCTTTAGACAAACATAATTTATAATGCAGCACCATTTCTCTGGCGTAACTTAAGGGAAATATTTTTCCTCTAGAAGGAAATATTTTTTCCTCTAGAAAATGATTTGTAAAGTAAAATGATTTGAAAGTCAAAAACTTCAAAATATGCATTTTCACAGTGATAGTAAAAACTTGTGTTTGTGTCAATAATATCTCTTGGTAAAGAATCATTATGGAAGATAGAAGCTAATTTTCTAACTTTCACTGACTTTGGTAGTGTAAACTCCAAAGACCAATATTTGTGGAAGTAACAGCCCACCTTTCCCAGTCCCAGAAATATACTTAAGTTTATCACACTTAGGTATGTGTGGTTGCCATGGATACCCACAATTTCCAGTGCTTGGTAATTCAAAGCACAAGTGATATACGTATGCTATCGCTTCTGCTTGAAAGTATTTTTTTTCTGCCTAGGAAGCGATGGAACACTAGTCAAAATATTTGTTGGTTTTCTTCTAGATTAAATCCCTTGTATATAAGCATACTGCATGTTGTACAGTCCTTTTGGACTGAATGCTGTGGTATTCAGAGCTATATACACTGCAACAGGTAGTACCTTGTCAAGCAGATTTATAGGCAGAATCATTCACACTTCACACAAATAAAAAACATTCCGCAGTACGACATCTTACATATTTAATACAAATTAAATTGAGGTGAAGACAGCAAAAGTTTCCATTTGAAACATGTTTCTCTGAGTGGAATTTACTGTCTTTATTTGTATGGTACAATGTAGTCTAGGCTTAAAAGGGCAAATTTTATTTGTTCAAAACCTGGATGGCTCTGACCTGTGTAGAGTTAACAGAACTAATTGCTTTGTTGTTAGGAGTTGGCAGGACAATGGAATCTAAGCTGGCTTCTTTGGGAATTAGAACCTGTGGAGATCTGCAATGTGCTTCAATGTCAAAACTGCAAAAAGAATTTGGTCCGAAAACAGGACAAATGCTCTACAGGTTTTGTCGTGGTTTAGATGATCGACCTGTTCGCACAGAAAAAGAAAGAAAATCTGTTTCAGCAGAAATCAACTATGGAATAAGGTTTACACAGGTAAATTCAATCTGTCTTTTCTGCAGTGACTTCTTTCAGCTGTAGAAGAATCTTCTCATATTCTGATTATTTTCACTTACACTTTGATCTGTTAGAGCACCATCTTAGCCACCAAATAGAAATGAGGAAAATGAAGAAGTAGGAGACCAAACGATAAAATGGGAGGAGAGACTGCAAAAGTATTGGACTGAAAAGAAGCCTGCACAAAATTAGCTGGCTATTCTGCATTCGTTATACGAGTCTGGTACAGAAAAAGAGAACTGCAGTAGGTTTGTTAGCACCTAGCATTCTCTTTCATTTAAATGCTGATTATTCAAATATGCCAGTGCTGAAACAATGACCAGCTTACTCCAGCAGAACGTTTTTGCTAGACTTTTCACAAGTAGTTTGGGGTGGGTTGTTGTTGTTTGAAAAAATTGTAGCAAAAAATAACTTTGTTGCAAACTTAACCATTTATAGAAATTCCTGGAAAAAAAATAGGTTGGGAGAGAGGTTTTGTTCTCCAGCCTTTTTCTCAATTTTCTCAAAGCAGGGGAAATTATGAGATCAGGCCATTTGCTCAGGGCTTTATCCAGACTGGTGTTGAAAATCTCCAAGAACAAACACTGCACAGCTTCTGTGGGTAACCTCTTCCACTGTTCAGCTATCCTCAAGATTAAAACATCTGTTGTCTTACAAGCCCTACACTCATCTTCTACATGTGTGCTTAAAATTAGAAATTAAAAATAGACGTAACATTTATTTTTAAATATTTTTTTAAAAGACTTGCTTCTAAAAGGGCTTAGTATTTACTGCTTATGTCAGCATTACAGGAGGAATCTACTATCTTGCCTAACTTCAGCAACCTGCAGTGTAAACAAAACACAAATAAGACAATTGCCTGTGAGTCACTTTGTTCTTTTAAGTTCATAAAATCATGCTTATTTTTTAAATCTTTGTGACACCCACTTCAACACTTTGTGAAGTGGAATACATTGAAGCTTAATGATTTACCTTATATATCTGAAAGAAGAGTAGTCATCTAAACAGTGGAATGTTGTTTTTCCTGTGTAGCCCAAGGAAGCAGAGGCTTTCCTTCTGAGCCTCTCAGAAGAAATCCAACGTAGACTTGAAGCTGCTGGTATGAAGGGTAAACGATTGACCCTTAAGATTATGGTCAGAAAGGCTGGGGCACCAGTGGAGCCTGCAAAATATGGAGGTCATGGAATCTGTGATAATATTGCCAGGTAACTACACATGGGGGAAAAAAGGTCTGTAGTAGGCACAAACACATTTCTGCAGGATGTTGAGCACTGAAACTTGCAGTAAGACAGGACAGAAATTTTAAAATGCTTGGTACCTCTTTGCCTACATAGCAAACCTGCACTAACATCAGAATTAGAATATTATTACCAAAGTTCTCTGTGCCTGTGTTTCAGCTATTCAGGAATTTGTTCACCCACAGTTAAGTTTTTTCATACAGTCCTAAGTTCCTCATCAGAAGTTATCTTGTTTTCTTGTGGATCATTACCAACATAGTAAAGCACCTTTTTGCTTGGTCTCCCTGCAGCACTGTTAAACTGACTGAGATGCTGCCTGTGGTGTCTGTCTGCTCATCCCTGGTGAAACAGGATAACCCAGCTACTAATTCTTGTTTGTTTCCTGTTGTTCTAATCGATGATGTTGACTAAAGATATATATTTTTTTTTACCACTTATTCATTAATATGCTTGCTATGCTCATCAAAACACAAGAATGAAATGTAGGCATATGGCCTCTTGTAGTTGCATTTTGTTTAATGCAGGATAGCTCATGACCTTCAGGGACTGGTGTATCAAGAAGAAAATACATCAGTCTGTACTTTTGTCTTCTGCATATCCTGAGTTCAAGTTGAAGATCTACTCTAAGAACACCTTTTTAGGACTGAAGACATTTAGATAAAGACATTTATTCCTCCTTTATCAGTAGCTAGTGCCACAGTGATTTCTCATGAACAGGTCAATGCTTTGGACATCATTTCCATAGTCAGGCAAGCTAATGTACATGTGCCCTGAAATTTCTCTATTTCTTAAAGTAAGAATTAATGTAATGTAATGGGGACATCCAGAGATGCTAAGCTGTTCACACATAGCCGAGACAGTTCTGATGCTCACATCTCTTCTGGCAGCTTCTGTGTTTCTGCTTCTGCCTTTACTGATGAACTTGGCAACCTGTATTTGAGGTCCTCTCTGGAATAAGTACAGAATTTTTGTTGTCTTTAGGATTTGTGAAACGGTTTCCTTGTTAATGCTGTTTTTTATTCTTTTTAGAACTGTGACTCTAGACCATGCAACAGACAGTGCAAAAATAATCGGAAAAGAAACTCTAAACATGTTTCACACAATGAAACTGAACATATCTGATATGCGAGGGGTGAGTTAATGGAAAAACCCAAATTTATTCGCTTTATCAGCTTTATTTTTTCACAGATCTTTAGTTCTCCATGGTAGGTGACAAACTTAAGGCAAAGTGTAGGCTATAAAAAACTTTGGTAAGTTAGGCTATCCAACCATACTGTGTTTTGTATATTTACCACTATAATCTTTTAAAAAGCACAGTTACAAAGCCATAACTAAAATAAATAAAATTCTGTTGTGACACGGATTAATCCACAACTTGAATTAAACAGCCTGCAGTTACGAAGTTAGACTGTATATTCTGCAGTTTTATTACTGAGTGTAAATTTTATTTTGTCTTAGAATTTTCAGTAAACTTTTACACAGTTGTTAGTTAAGCAACTAATAGAAGTACTGTTTATAAGTCTAATCAGAGATACAGATCACAGGAGTTTTTAATCTAGACTGCAAGTGTTAGAGCCAGAATAGTTACCAGCCCGTGGTTTAGCCTTTGTTTGAAGGTGAATTGCTGGCTCCTTTGATTTATGACTTATTTTAGAACACTCTTTCTAATCTCAGTGGTTCTGTCATAGCAGTGTAAACCAATGATGAAACTGTTTTGGCATAAGCCATCTCTTAAAATGGAGCTGATTAAAATTCTTCCTATGACCACATCTCTGTTCAGTTGTGAAGGGGCCATTCAATCATAGATCGTATCATCAAGTGCAGGTATATCTGAGGTCCCTGATTAGTACTCATTTTAACTGACTTCAGGCATCTCCAATGCCTGTGTCTATATTGAAGTTAGTCCCCCTAAGCTTCAGCACTTAATATGATATGAGTCATGTGTGCACTTTGTCTCTCTAAAAAAAAATAAAATTAAGAGGGGGGGGTGTCCTAAAGTGATATCCTTAACTGTTGATGCCCACACTTAAGCAGATTGATCCACCTGTCTTGCAGACTTAACATAACACTGCCTCAATCTCTACTCCTTTTTTTGTTTGTTTGTTTTTGAAGTAGAAATAAAAAAATCCCTAAGTTCTAGAACTCAATCTAGAAATACTTGAAAGCAAAAAGATAAAGGTGCAAAGAAAAACTTTTTACAGTGATGTTTTAATAGCCCATTAATCACAACTGAAAAACTGGTAACAAATAATATCCTTGTTATGTGTTTATAGAAGAAGACCTGGTAAAAAAATACCCTCACTGGCTCCTCCACTGAGTCCTATACACAATTTTTTGCTGTGTAGCCATACTTAGTACTAATCACTTTTCGTGCTCAGTACTTCTGTATTTTTTAATGTCTAAGAAATTTCATAATAAATGCTTTGTTTCATGGGCCTGTTGATAGCATTTTCATTTATCAGAGAAGATAAGATGATATTACCTCTGTAAATTCTTAGTTGTTGGATTGTGGTAGATTATCCTAGGATTTGTTTGGGATGTTTTTAGTGGCTATTCATGTGGTTTTCAACATACTTTTACTCATTCTCTTCCACTCCTACAACAGGTATCCAGTTTGAGAAGGAAAAGGGAATGCTGTTATGAACTTACTGTGATTATTATATTTTTTATTTATTTTGAAAACAAAAATAATATATTAATGTTTTGGATTTAGGTTGGAATTCAGGTACAGCAGTTAGTTCCCATCAGTAAAACCACTTCGGCTCATTCAGCTGTACAGGCTGGACACTTACCTGGTGGATCGCATTCAGTTATTGATCTTTTTCATGTTCAGAAAGCAAAAAAGTGCTCAGAAGAAGAACATAAGGAAGGTCAGTAAGTTTTGTCCTTTGCACGTGTGATAATGATCAGTTCTTAAAGGGTTGAACTTAGATTGTCTTTTTGAATGCTTTTCCTATGTTACACAAGTATAAATTATTTAATACAAACTCTTCAAGAGCATGCTTTGCTGCTGAAATATTAACAGAGATACTTCAAAATAAAAAGTTACATGATTATGCCATACACTGTGTAAACTATTGAGCAATGAGAACTGGAAATTAGCTTCACTGTATCTTGAAACTTCAGAGTTTTTAACTATCAGATGATCATTCTGTGTTCTTTTTTCATATGTACAGTATTTGTTGCTGCTATGGACCTTGAAATATCTTCTGATTCAAGAACTTGCACTTTTCTTCCGTCTCGTGGTACACATCTCACATCTGGTCTCAATTCTAATGTTAACAAGACTGAGTCTGCTGTCAAATGCAATGGCTTGCATACTCCTATCAGCGTAAAATCCAGGCTTAATTTGAGTATTGAGGTTCCTTCCGCTTCCCAGGTAAAACTCAAGAATATAAAATATCTGTAATACATTGTAATAATTTGGCATTGGTGGTCTTAGAGGGGAAAAAAATGTATCACACTTCTTTTTTAAATGAAAACAACTCCAGTAGGGTAGAATGCACAGAAAGAGATTTGCCTTAAAATGATTTTAAAAAAGCAGTCCTATATAGGCCAACTCAAAGAATAAAGTTATATTTATTCAAAGAATAGAAGCTTGCTTTTCCGGCATCCCTTTTCTTCCCGTCACTTGCTATAGGATTGAAATGGAACAGGAATGGAAAATATGCCACAGATGAAATATTAAATAGCATTGCCTTTTGCCTTTCGCAACCAGAGCTCTTTAAAGAATCCCAAAACCTAATTATAAAGATTTGTCTATTACTATGTATCCCTAGGCCTAAAGCTTAAGCATACTCTGTTGTGGATGCAGGACAAATTCACTTTAGAATTGGAGTAATTCAGTTGAAAGGACCTACAAAGGCCACTGAATCCCAACTGATCAAAGGGATCAAATAGCCTTCTTAACGTATTTCTTAAAGTCCTGTACTGTACACCAGTCTTTAAAATACACTATAAATCTGTCTTCAGATGTTAATTGATGAGAAAGAATGGAATGGCAGCCTTTCCCACACTACCTCATATCCTTCTACAGTAGCTGTGTTCTAAATTTCGTCCTAAAATCACATCAAACTATTTGTATTTAAATGTAGTTATTAATCTTTATATGTTTTTTCAAGTTTTCTTGGTATTGAAGCTGGGAACATCAACTTTTAGATGAGAGGGGTACAGTCTTTAAAGTATTTCTTTGCGGGTTGGGGTTTTTTGGTTGTCTGGCTGTTGTGTTTTTTGTGTTTTTTTTTAATAAAGGAAGATCCTTAGTTCTAGCCCCTACATTATCTAAGCAGGCATCTGGTTTTAAAGGTCAGTTACGAGCAAGTTGTACTGAATTCTGTAGACGTCTTAGGTGTAAACAGACTTTCATGCTTTACTGTAAAAATATGTAGTTCTGATTTCTGTAATTTAAGTCTGCAAAAGCAATTGCTAATGTTTTGTTAACCACTTTCCCAAATATCTATACATTTTTAGAAGCCACGTATGCTTTTGGCAGAAAACATTTCTTTCTGTAACACAATGCTAAAGCTAACTCGGGACATACAGGCAACCTGACTGAACAATGTGGAGCTCGTCCACTTTCTCAGATTATCCTATAGAAGCAGTATGTTAGAATATTATATTAAAAAAATGTTTAAAAAAAAAAAATGCAGTAGCTGTGCAGTATGGTTCCTATAGCTTCGGTGACCTTATCACACAATAGGCACATCTTTTTTTGTGTGTGTGTATAATAACCATATTATAATATGGAATTCGGTACACGGAAAGCATGGTGACAGTCCTGTAATGATGCTTATATACACTGTGTTAGGAAAGAAACAGCACGATTATTTTAAAACCAGAATTTCCAGAAGATCTTTATAGGATTATTATACGTAGCAATCTCCAAATCTTCTTAAAGGTGAAAGGCAAAGTTTTCTAGCAGTCCTATGGAATTTCCTTTAGTAGAACTTAAAGGCAAAACTACATACTTTCACTCAAATTTTACTTGTGAGAAAAATTACACTGTGAATCTGTTTGTCATATTCATTTCTTCACTTCTGCAGCCGTCATTGTATGTGCTGACAACTTTTAGGTACTGAGCAGTCATCCTAGTTATTTCAAGTTGATAATTGATGGTAAATACCAATTGCAGTAAGGAAAAAAGTTTAAAGCTCATTTCTTTGTCAAAATCTATGGCAAAAATCTGACAGTGTGCAAATATGTAATAGCGTTAAAGTAAGCTGATAACATTTTACCATAGAATGATATAAAGAAAAATGAATTGCTTACTGTTTCGAACCACATAATTTAGCATTCATATCAACATGTCACCTATATAATTTGAACTCAGAAAATTCGTTTTCTTATCTGTAGAGGAAAACTTGTATGTAATTTGTGATGAGAACCCTAAATATCATGAAAAGATAAAATTGAGCATTCATATTTACTGATCTGTGTTTAAATGACTTTTCTTTTTAATTTACATCTCACTGCTGCAGAGAGCATCAGGTCACCAAATGTGTTTGCATACGCAGATTTTTTTTTTTCAAAATTCAAAGACTATAGAACTTTGGGGGGGGGCAGGGGAGGGTTAAAATTAACTTTGTGATAGATCAGAACCTAAAAGCTTTTTTGTATTTGTAGCTAGACAAGTCTGTGCTAGAAGCTCTGCCACCTGATCTCCGAGAACAAGTAGAACAAATATACACTATTCAGCAAGGAGAGACTTACGGAGAGAGCAAAAAAGAGCCAATAAATGGCTGTAGCACTGCACTTCTCTCACAACCAGTTGGAACAGTGCTTTTACAAGTACCAGAGCTCCAAGAACCAAATGCCAATACGGGAATTAATGTAATTGCCTTGCCAGCTTTCTCACAGGTAGGATGTTTGCACGGTATCAATAAATGTTAACTTTCTACCTGCAGGGAGAGTTAACAGCATTTTTCTTGAGCCAGAATTACTATGATTTGTTACTTACTCAAAGTTTATTTATGATTGTTTAATATCTTTCAAAAGTCTGTGCTTTCAAATGTGACTTACTCCATCACAAATGAAGTATGATAGGTGTTTATTAAAGATTTATAGTCATCAGTATGTCTGTTTTTGCTGTTACTTAATGTAAAACCCCTCATTTACACTTTGCTTTGCAATCTAGTGTGTAAATAGCTGTTTTTCTGCATTGCAGCTGAATTACACTGCACCATCAGTCTCAAGCCATCATAAATCAGCTTAGCTCGTCACAGGAGACTCACTATTTAAGTGGATGCTCTGATGGTGTAAAGCCAACCTACCAGCTTCCACAGATTTGATTGTTCATATCACATTCCTGGGAGAAAAGCAGGCATGGCTAAGATTGTGCATATCTCCATAATTTTGGAATGAGAAGCTGGTTCAGGACAAAAAGTGCAAAGTTGTTTCTCAGAATAGTGACTGGAAGGGGAGCCGGTAGCTGGTAATGATGCTTCTACTGATATTCCACACTTCAATCCAAGATGGTGCTGAACAGATGTAGGGTAAAAAAAAAATCCCAGATTAGAATACCAAAGATATGATATCTTGCATATGCATGACTTAAAATTATTGTGAGTACTGCTCTGTTTTATTTTTCTATTTGCTATGTCACTTGCTGTTCTCAAATCAGATTTATAGAGAGATGTTTGCTGCTGTTTCTAAGGTGTAATGCTGCTTAGCTGACAAAGAATGCTTTGGAAATCAGGTAGAAATTCCTAACCAGCTTTCGCTAAACAGCAATTAATGCATAATTATTATTTAAAAGATGTGCAGTCCATTTTGCTACTAAAATTTCTTCACCTTAATGCAAGTTGATTGGTTCAGAAACAGTTGGATCGGTTTGCATTCCTGAACCACAAAGCTGGCTTTTCCATATGGGGATGTTGTGAGACCAGTAAAGGAATTCTCCATCCCTCAGCTGTTTTAAATTACGCACTTAAACTCTTGCCTATCAATCAGTGCATCTTGGACTTGCGGGTTAAATTATGCTGTGAAATCACATCCCTCCTCACTTCGTACACCATGCAGTACTCTTTTCTCAGAGAGAAAGTTATAACTATCTATGGCTTTCCGTAAAAATTGCATTTAGTTTATCATATTTATGCCTTATCCATATATTAAGTAGTTGAGAATTAATTATTTTTGTCTTTTCTGTTGTTTTTTTTAATAAGTTTTTGAAACTGTTAGAAACCTGTAATTTGCACGCTTAGTTTGTGCTGTTTTCCTGTTTCTCATCTCCTAGTGCATTTTGTGACTGTGTTACTCAATCCAAACACATCAGCTTAGGAGCATGACACCAGGTGGTACAGGAATCCACTTGGTCACCTGCCCTGGCTGTGTCCTCTCCCAGCTCTTGGTACACCCCCAGCCTCCTGGCTGGCTGGGCAGCACAAGAAGTTGAACAGCCCTTGGCTCTGTGTAAGCACTGCTCTGCAACAACTGAAAACGTGGGTGTGTTATCACCACTGTTTTCATCAAAAATCCAAAACACAGCATTGTGAGAGCAGCTATGAAGAAAATTAACTCTATCCCAGCCAAAAGCAGGACAGATATCCATGCTGTCTAGATATCCATACTATCTATTTAAGAATGCCTTATGCTTGTACTCCAAACTTTCTCCTGAAAACCTTTAAGCTTCCTTTATTGGAAAAAAAAAGGGTGAACTAAGATTCACAGTTTTCATTTTCTCACTTAGGTCCAAGTTTAATGCATAATGCATATATGATTGTATATATACATAGTACGTATTTGGTTGAATAACTTCTTTTTATTATTGTCAAAAATACGAACGTTTTTGTTCAAAACCTAGTAATAGATTTCAGATATAGAGGTATATGAGGATGTGATACAGCTACATTAGGACAATGTCACTAGAGTAAATGTTATACTTTTACAGGGCAGTGGTTGGGGGAATGACAAAATTATGGTCAGTTCCCTGTACTGCCTTTTTTCTGAATGAGTTAGGTCGTGTTATGGAACAGTTGCAATTCATACACAAAAAATGTTTGGGATTTCCAAATTCATGAATTCTTGAATGCTTAGCCAGTGGATGTTAACCTTTTAAAAACAGTTTTAAATTATTTTTAAATATACATTTTATTAAATAAGCTTTGATTGGTGACTTCTAAGAGTTGATTGGTGATTTAAGACTTGATTGGCAACATTCCACTACAATGCTTCGTTCTGCGCAATGTGTAGAGCAATTGAGGCCAGAGTTGTTCTCATTTCTTCCTTTAATTAGCACATATTTCATGCGGTGAAAAATATGTTGGCACATGGAGTTCTAAAAATGCAAAAAACTTCGTTCATCGTTCTGACTTTTGATGACTTTTACCTGTGGGAGCATGATCGTGTTTAACAATATAATTTAGACACAACATGTGAATGGCACAGTCTACTTTCCTGACAAATATATACATTTTACAGTTGGGAAAAAAAAAAAAAAGATCAAATATCCATTGAAAATAAGATGTAGCTCTTAGGTGTATAGCAGTATTTTAAATACAGTATCTCTAATAATGGTAGAAACTGTATCGTGCACTTAAAATAGTAATGCAGGTTTGGGGTAATTTTTGTTGTTGTTTGTGCACATCTCAGATTTTTTTTTACCAGAGAAATGAAGGGCATTCTCCCACCGAGCAAATTTAATCCTCTAAATGATAGGTTTGCTTTTATGAATTATGTTTTGCAGGCTGTGAGTTGGAAACACTGTTCAAGAACACTGGGCAACTCAGAATACAAAAATAGACGGGCACTAATTTGCTCATTCAGCCACATAGTGGGGGAAGATGATACATGACATTTTCTGTTGTCCACATGAGTATTGCAACTGGCATACTTACAAACGGTTTCCTATATAGAATCCAAGCCTCTAGGCCAGTTGGAATGGACTCAATTTTTATCAGTCAGTAAAGGGATGGAATACTAAAATTCTGTAGTGTTATTTTAAAATTCAAGGTAGCTGGATTTGTGTTTCCTGTAAGAAGCAAGACTATTCCCAAGGACATTTTGTCTGAGGAACGTAGCGGTATCAAAAGAAAAGGAGGAACAGAAGTCCAGTTGTCAAAGTGATTGAGTTTGGCAATTGGAATGAAATGTTCTCCAACTTAGGCTTAATTGTGCTGTTAATATAGCTGTACTGTATAATAGTAGGTGAGTAAAGATGGAACATCTTGGGGGGGGAGGGGGGAGGATGTTATAATAACACCTGTGATCATTTTTAATGGTTAATGTGTTACATGCCTGTAAATAGTAATTCCATAAAATGTAGAGTTAATGGTAAAAGGAAGATTTTGTAGTTGTTACAAGTTTAGGTACGTGAAGAAAACGTACAACATATTTTATTTTACAGTGCTTCGGCTGTGTTTCATTTATTTTTGCTTGGCATAAAATGGAACTACTGTTCTTATGTTGGTAATCTAGAGGAAAGCAAGCAGGGTTGCTTTCTGGTAAAATAATCAAATGAATCTTCTGTCACTGTTCAGGTGGACCCTGAGGTTTTTGCTGCGCTACCTGCTGAGTTGCAAGCAGAACTGAGAGATGCATACGATCAAAGGCAAAAGCAACCCGAGCAGCAACCTGCTAATACTTCTGGTAAGTATATATTAGTTGTACAATAGTTTTATATAGGAGTTGTTTACTATTTGAAGAGATTTATGCAACCCTAAATACAAACCAGAAAACATAAGCAAAGCTTCTAGGATGATACTGTGTTAAATCGAATTTCTGTATTTTTGGTAGACAGTGAGTTACCACCAGCTGTGGCCTCATTTTGCAAACAGATGCCTAGCTGTACTGAAATGGGAAATTAATTCAATTCATTGGGACTGTGACACGAAACCGCTCACGTCCTTATGTTTGCAGGATGGAATGTAAACTTGGTGCGTCTCGTGATTTAAAGTACTGCGTCTTCAGTACTTGGTTTAGGTAAACATGTATGCTCAGATTAGCATCCTCGTGGTTTATATAGCAGTAGTACAGATTTCAGGGAACTAGAGAGATGATTCATCTCCCCCTGTCTGATGGATGATTTTACTCAGAGCTGATCACTTAGGTCTCCTTTTTATAATCAGTTGAAGAAACGAGGTAACTTCCCTGTGAAAGTGAGTGTCATAAAATAGGTTGGAAATGCCAGTGGGTTCATTGTCAGTTTAATACTGCATTATTACAATGAAACCTTGATTTCAGTCAGTGGACTACTGCAGATAAAAGCAGTTTGGGGACCCTTTTGCTGCTGTTTTTTGTTTTTTTTTTGATAATCACTGGTGGAAAGTCTTAGCAGGTACCTAGGTTGGACAGTGCTCTAGGGTGAAGCAATTCATCCAGTGGGCTTCGGGTTTCACTAGCTGCTCATATTCAAGCACTGAAATGCTTGATATTTAAAAGGCTCATAATTAAGTACACTAATCTTATAGCAGTGCTGTCCAAGTACTTAAACCATTGCCCATATCCAAAATGGCACATGGAAGCTAAGTCATTTTATCTAGATTATATTTTCCCAATTGATCCATAGATTGCTGTGGAAGATTAAGGCTTCCTTTTTGATGGAAAAGTATTAAAATTTCAACGTATCAATCACTGACTCTTCCTGTGTTTTTTCAGTATCCAAAAATCCTTGCCTACACCCGAAGCATGCGACAATGAAAAACAAGAAAAAAATCAGGAAAAAAAATCCAGTCAGCCCTGCAAAAAAGATTCAGAGTCCTTTGAAAAACAAACTCCTGGGTAGCCCTGCAAAAAACATGCCAGCTACATCTGGAAGCCCACAGAAGCTAATAGATAGCTTTTTGAAACAGGAAGGAACAGCTCCTCAGGTAATGGTAACAGTTTGCTATGTCCATTTCTTCAGTCTTTGTCCATGTTCACAAAACCAGCTTGTTTACTGGATTCCTTAGTATATACTTACCTATGCGTGCATGTATATGCTGTTACCATATTTGTCAGACTGAGCATTACCAACTTCTGTGTTTGCAGCAGCCAGAAGCAGTTCCATCAACTTCGGATTGTTCAGGCCCGTCAGCTCTGCAGACTGAGCAGCCTGGTTCGTTCAGGCCACAGGCACCCAACCTAGCTGGAGCTGTTGAATTCAATGATGTAAAGACGTTGTTGAAAGAATGGATAACAACTATTTCAGGTAAGGGATGGCATGCTAGCGATGATCTTGCATCACAAGGAAAGCTGTTTTGCAGCAGGCTTTTTGTACCTTCCTTCTTCATTCACTCTTGCTTTCACTGGTTGCTTCTCACAGCTGTCCTGAAGTCTTACTGCTTTGTAGTGTTGTAGTAACTTGATTCTTCCTACTCAGTTGTTGTTTTGTATTCTTGCTAGCTCCTGTTTCTTGCTTACAGCCGTGAAAATCCACCTACTTTCTCTTCAGCCCATTTGTTAGGCTCTTGCCGTATGCCTTGATGTTACTTGTATGAAAGGTTTTCCTTATTTTGTCCACCAGGTTAACAGCCATTAGAGTGGGAGATTTCTGAAAGAAATTCCTTTCTTAGGAAGATGTCCTTTTAGAGAAAGGAATGCATATTTTTCCCAAAAAAAGACAGGAATTCTAGAATAAATTGCAAAAGTTTAACACCATTGTTAAATTGTGATTTCAATTTCAACAAAATGTCATACAATTAGCAATCCCTTATTATCCTGGAAAATCTGACCTCCAAGATTCTTCCTGTCTTGAACGCTGCTGTTCACCTTAGAGTTTCAAAAGAGCTATTCCATTCTAAATCCATATTTCTTTTCCTTTTGGTTAATATTAGCTTGGCTGTAATTTCTCCTTAGAATGGGGAGCGGGAGGGAATAAAAAGGAGAGGTTGACAAGCCAGATACTTCAGGTTGTTGCAGTCCGTTTATGTACAGAACTTCTGATGTTGGGGGAGATACAGGAATACAGCAGTTGTCAAATTGGCACCTGATACGCTAACACTGATAATTTTTTCTAGTATATTCTAATTATTCTGTAATAATTAAGTATATTTGGAGAATGGTTCTCTTCATTTTTTTTATATATTTTTCTTTCACAGATCCTATGGAAGAAGACATTCTACAGGTTGTAAAGTACTGTACGGATCTAATAGAAGAAAAAGATTTGGAAAAGTTAGATCTGGTGGTTAAATACATGAAAAGGTAGCTTAATTGCTAACGTTTGTGATGTTTGGGCTGGTTCTGTTTGCACTTATGCACTAGGTACTTCAGTGTGAGACTACAAGTCTCTTAGGCATTCCACTGAAGAGTGTAAATATTTTAAGCTTAAATTTTATTTTAAAAATGGGGTGAAAAAGGTTGGGCTGATAAAATAGGCAATCTGTGAAAAATTAATGGTATAATTTTAGTATTATTTGCTACAAAGTACTTTGTTTCCAGACAGGATAATTTTTGTTGTCATTGTCCCTTTTCTTCATCCTGTTTTCATTTGTCATGCTGCCTTAGATCTCTCATTTGTTTCATCTGATTTCAGTTCTGTATCCAGATCTGCCTCACCTCTCCAATCCTATTAAATCTGTTTTCATTACTTCATTACTGTGCTCCGTTTGCTCCTCCCGTATGTCAGGAAGCCCATGTTCCCTTCATGACGTGCTTACTCACTGATAGCTGTGCTGCTCAGCTTTCAGTGTCTTTTGGTTTGGAAAATACTTAATTCTCAGAACTAATCAGCACCCAAAGGACTACAACAGTGCAAAAGTTTGGTTACTCTTTTGTGTTATGGGATATCTTCAAGCTTCAGAAAACGAGAAATGCTCAGTGCAGTTAACTGTTTTGTTGAATGGTGTACAGTAAATTCGTTATAAAAGTTGAGAAAGCATCACATCCTGCTGCTGGTGAGATCAGCACTGGTGGCAGTACGGCTCTCTGAAGGCTGCTACGTGTAGGACAAGAAAGCAGGAGTCAAACAATACACAGTTGTCAATATGAAACTGATACCAGGTCCTACTAAGCTGTACATGTAGGGGCCCTCTGCTCTCCTGTAATAGCCATCTAGACGGGGATCTAGAGAGAGAGAGGACACAGGATGCATTTAAAATGCCTGCCTACAGCATTTTCTTCCTTTAATTTGCTTGTAGTGGCAGCTGTATGACAGAGGTTGCTCATACTTAGCTCTGCATGTCTGTGATTCTCTTTCACTTCTGGTGATACACACAATATAGTGCCCTCAACACGTATTATTAAAATGCCTTAATTATGATGGCATTTGTTGGAAGAAGGTTGTAGCACGTATGTCTTGATTTAAGAAAGGAAAGATTGGGTTCCAGAATCTTGCCATTTACTAAAGTTTTTAGAAGGTTACCACTTTAAGCACATGCTTACAACCACTGCAAAATGCTAAGGTTTACAAACTGGTGATACCATTTATATCAGAAGTATTGCCAGTGAATGTCAGAGGAACCTGTGGCATTAGCTAAGGCTTGGTATATTTGAAGAGAGAAGGCTTTACCAAAATCAAGTCAAAATACACACGGTGTACCATTGTGATCTTGTTTTCCAGTGTGAAGACCAAAAGTAAATGTTTAATAAAAAAAGGCAGTTCTGTAGTTGTAATTTTCTCCCTCTTTTTTCCTTCTTCCCTCCAGGTTAATGCAATCATCTGTGGAATCAGTTTGGAATATGGCATTTGACTTCATTCTTGACAATGTTCAGGTAGTTTTACAACAAACTTACGGAAGCACATTAAAAGTTATCTGAACTTGTAGTAAAGAGCTTGATGAGAGCCTGGAGCTCTCTGCTAGCTGTGCCATAAGTGCTTGTGAGGTATTTGCAAAGTGCATGATAGTAATGCCCTGAGTTTTTATAATTTCAAATTTCTTTTTAAACAACAAAGTGTTTTGTACATTTCTTTTCAGAAAGTGCCAAATTTGTCAGTATTGCATGTAAATAATTGTGTTAAAATTCTTTTATTGTAGTATAGAATCTATTTACAAAATGTTTGTTTATAAAGTTTTATGGATTTTTACAGTGAAGTGTTTACAGTTGTTTAATAAAGAACTGTATGTATATTTTTGTACTGATTCCATTTTGTCATGCTTCAGTTGAATACAGCCGATCACTGTTACTAAAGCTGCAGCTTTGGTTCATTTTGCAATGACATGGCTCGACACCATGACCCTCCACTGATGTTACTGCAGATCCAAAGGAAGAACATTGGCTTGTTTTGTTTCATTCTTCAAAGACAGGAACCAGGGTGGCCCAGCACACGTGGCACTCGCTGAGGCATAATTGCTTTCAGAGCTCTGTGTGTCCAGGTGCACGGCTGGGTTTATACCTGGAACGACCCCAACAGGTTGTGTCCATGGCAGGGATGTGCGTGCTTGTGTCTCTACAGGTGGTGGTTTGGATAAGTTTGGTTTTTCTAGACGTGCACCAGCCTCATCCAGTAACACTTGGCCATCCATCTTGAAGCAAAGCTGTTCCTTTCATTCTGAAGAGAATGAGGACTACAGCTCGCACCACAACTGGATGGGGAGTGCTCTGAAGTCAGCTGACCAGCTGTAGCACAGGGGCCAGGTTTTACATTTTTAGCTGGCATTTTAAGCTTTAGGTTGCACCCTCGGCATCCCTCGTAACCCACCCTGGGAGAGGAACCAACAGTGACAGCTGTCTAGAACAGGGCACCTACCTCGGTGGATGAGGGGAGCGCAGACGGTGTGTATATAACACAAGCTGCCATTTGAGTCACCAGAGGAGTGTGCTGTGTCCAGAGGGACCTCAACAGCCTGGAGAAATGGGCGGAGAGGAACCTCAGGAGGGTCACCAATATGCAATTGGACAAAGTCATGGGAAACCCTTCTCCATTTAAGAAAACCAGCTTGGTAACTGCTTCTGTAGAAGAATGTATTTGCTGAAGTTCAAGAAAGTATTTTACTAGTTAGGTGTCAGATACACAGCTTTGATCCCATGAGTGCTGCTCAAGCCATACTCCGAAAGAAAAGAGGATTACTTGTGTTTTCATTCTCTCTCATTGATCCCTGCATCAAGCCCTTAAATATTTTATTCAAGGTACCTGCTGCCTTAAAACCTCTTACTAAAGGCATTTCTACAGGCTCATAACAGCAGCCTGCAAAAAACAGCATCATCCTTTTCCATTTTGTACTTGAGGAAACAAGAATACATCAAGACCACATTGTTTCACATCAGTGTTCTTAACTTAAGAACTTTTTATTAGAGTAGCTTTCATGATTGCATAGTTTGCAAAAGAAAATTATTACAATTAAATGCAGTCTCCTCACCAGTGACACTTGAGATCATTCTACTCTAAATCACTGACATGCCCAGTGATGTGAACTTGTACCACACACCAACCATACTTAAAAGGTCCTGGGTCAAGGGCAAGGTTAAAGTCTTAACAAACAAAACAAAGAGTCTGGTAAGTTTGATCAGGGAATCCAAGGTGGCACGTTATCACGTGTTCCTCTAATGGAGTTCACACAATCCCTATTGTGAAATTCATGTTTGTCTAACCAGAGAAAATGAAGAAATATAAGGGACAGAAGAAACGTGATCAGATCAAGCTGCCTGTTACCAGTTAGATTTTTTTTATAAATATTTTAAATGCTAAAAATCTCAGCTACATAAAAGGTCATTATTGATGTTGCTTCAGCTTGTGCTTTTGAGAAGTATTTGTTAGGCATTGCTCTCCATGAGTTAGAAATTACCAGGAGAGGACCTGATTACAGATCGATCTAGCTGTCAGCTTAGGAGGGCAACCAAAGGGAAGGCAGGGTCAGGCAGTGCTGGGGTTACAGACTGATTCCTGGTCATTACTTTTGAACTGGTCCAGTCCTGTGATGCTGGATGGCTCGACAGGTCTGAGACACTGTCCAAAGTCACTACTTACTTGGGGACGAGTGCTCTGCCTGTGCTTACTGCCACTCTGAAGAGTGGTTGGAAGATGCTGCAGCTACACTCACCTACACCTGCAGTGACCTCTGGTACTTCTGACCTGCTAAACACGATAAAAGGTGTGAGCCACTGTGAGCATCACGCACAGCACACAGCATGGGGAAGAGAAGCCAGAAGAAGCCCCTGCTGCAGTGCACATCCCTGACTTGGCCAGGCAGGGGGAGGCAAGCCTCAGCCCGGCACCTCCACCGTCTGTAAGGGCCCAGGAGGTGATGTTTGGTTTATTGAAGCAAACTGTAAAACAAAGGGGCTACCATGTCCATCTCCTTTATTTGCGGCTCTGCGTTATAATGATTACAGGTCGACTTTTGATGAACTGTACAAGCAGTAAAAGGCGGCCAACTATGCTTTACATCATTGTTTCACACAAAGCAAATACAGAAATATCCAATTGCCTAATTTTCTATTTAAAAAAATGTCTATAGGCACAAAGCAGAAGAATATTGGAAAAGAGAGTCAAGGGAAGAGGTATGCATAAATAAAGAAGTACTTCTTACATCAAAAATGTCCCAAGAATCACAAAGTCTGCAGAAGCTTGGTTAATCAAATACTGCAGTACTGATCTCATCAGTATAAAAGTGAAAGAGCTTTAGTTCTGTAATAAAAATTCAATTTATTTTACTTTATTTTGGAGAGAGGAGGGAAAAGGGTGGAAGGAAAGTGTAAGAGAAGAAAGGGCAAACTTTAAAACAGCAGCCAGTATTAGGAAGGGCAGTGGGAAAGGTGAACAGGCACATTGGAACCGTGGGAACATGTAAATTGACCACTGTCAAACCAGTGTAAATTTCTTGGTTTCTCATGGAAAACATTTTATCCACATATTTTCCTCCCAAACATATATCCAACACTGTCTTCAATATACGACTTTGTTGGTAACTTTTAGAACAGGAACAGCAAGTTTATTCCTGCCTCCCCATTGCTGTAAAAAGGTATCTAGATGATCTCAAACACTTTCTTCAGCTCTACTATAAGCTGCCAGTCAGACTTCTGCATTTCGTCTCTGAACCAGTCCTTCAGAGCGTCGATGGACTGACGGCTGATCTGTAACACACAAGGCAAACCCATCAGAAACATGTATCAGTAACGGTAACTGCTTCCACCACGCCAAGGCCGCTGTGCATTGTGTACATTCAGAACCAGGCAAACACAACCACTGCTCTGAGCACCAGCTACGTACGAAGGTATGCGAACAGCTCGTTTGCCATTTACCCTCTCCAGTACAACAAGCTGCCAGGTATTTTTAGTCACAGTCCATCATTCCTTCGGTTCTCTCAAGTAGCACCACTACAGATCCCAAAATGAGGCTACAGAGAAACACTGCTGAACAACACCATCCATGAATAATTTCAAGTGTCTCAGCCTGATGGAAGGTTACTAATATTAATTTTCCAGGCTTTGCGCAACATTTCCACTTCAAGCAAGTTACCCATTGCGTCATGAACCAAAAATATAGATGGCTTTTACCTTGCTGACGAGGATGTCTGTTGCTTCAAAATGTCGCCCATACATTTTAGGTGATTCACCAGGAATAGGTTCTATTTTAACACATACTTCTTGGCCTTTCTTTGCAACCTCCACCGGCTTGTGGTTTATTTCAATACTTGTAACTATTCCAATTTCAACAAACTGTAACACAATGAAGAAAGTGTAAGACACATGAGCAAAACCCGTGCACACACCCTTCTCTAAATTCCTGCCAGTTGCCCATCCAAAGCAACGCATCAGAGCCCACCCCAGAGCAACAGCGTATCGCACAGTAAGCGTGCACAGAAAGGGCAGCAGCACCAGCCCACCTGTATTTCATCTGCCATACCAATTTGTTGACCTTCAGCATATCAGGATGTGAATTCCCCCCTGGCTAGCAAGCAGGATAGAATTTTGCTTGTTCCTTTGTATCATAATACAGGAATTGGGAATTTGGGAGGGAAGGTGACAGCCACAGCCCCGCTTCTCGGTAGGGCACTGTGGAGACTGCAGAGGTGTCTCTCTGCTGCAGGATGCAACTCCCCCAGCAGAGCACAATGCGACGGCTGATCACTTGGAAGGAGATGATCTAATACTGGATCTCATCTCCTACCAAAGGCATGCAACACGTTCCTGGTGCCTCATCCCAGCCACTACCCGCTCAAACAAACGTCCGTGGGGAAGGCAAGAGGCTCTTACTTACGTTTTTGCTAGGTACGCACATGGGAGTGCCCTGCTTCACCTGGCCTGCCTCCACGACGACACCCATCACTATTGGGTCACGGGAGTTGAAAATAAACTGAGGGAGTATTTTCATCTTGCAAGGGAATACTGCTATATGCCTGGGAGACAACAAGGAGGAGGCATTTTGAAACGGTTACTGGAACAGTGTGGGGAGTATTAATGCTTCTGCCTTCTGCTGCACATCCTGGGCATTTATTTCTACCCCAAGTCACATACAGAATAAGCAGGAAAACGCTCTTGTCCAGTCCTTCTTGTTAATCTAGTCAACACTCTATCTTACAGAACTATAGGCAACAATAATCATGTATGGCTGGCATGGATTTTATTTTGACTGGTTCGGGCATCGAGACAAGACTGAGACCAAATGAATACTAATTACAGTATAATTATAATCTCAGAAGAGCATGGGAATAGAAATACTGTTGCCACAATCCGACACAGTGACTCAAGAAATTCTAAATTTTTGTTTCTGAAGAAGTACTTCAAAATGCTGAGCTATACAAACTCAAGTTTTGATTAAAAAAATGCATATTTTTTCCCCACTTAGTTTGTCATTACTGAGGATCAGCTAATGACACTGACTCCAAAAATTAAGTTTTGGATCCTTATAAATCCTTAAAATGATGGCATATTCATGTTATTACCATCACAATTAAGCTGTGTACACTGGAATTGCACAAGCATGAAACAATAGAACCCAAATCCTTCTGGTTGTTTTCTCAGCCCTGAGACTAACCCATCTGTCAGAAACTAAGAAAGGAAACCAAGTATATAAAGCAAACCTTAATAAAAACACTCCATATAACACGATGGGTTTTTGCTAAATCTTGCAACTGCTTCACAACTCCCACCCTACTAAATCTAATCCCAGATGTAAACATTTAGACTAGGCT